ACTGAGACTAGAACTCTGGGGAATCATACATTAAAGGAAATGGAAGAGTGAAATAGGTGGACCCTAGGGACCTTATCAAATACAAGGACTGAAAAGAAGCACTTAAATGGAAATTCCTAGCAAGGATTATGCTTTTCATTCTTAATGACAGCTGTATATCTATACATTGAACCCTCACCATTTATCTGCAGCTCTTGTGGAATCTGAGGCTACATTAATAAGACAAATTCCTTGTTCTTCTGGGGCTTATATTTTACCATGGGAAAGGAAAAAAACAGGTAACAAACAAATGTAGATGATTAGAAATACAGTGTAAGCAGGAGCATGTGACAGAAAATGCTGCTTCATGAGTTGGGCTACTTTGTAATAATCACAGTTTTGCATAGAACTGAAAATTTCTCGCTCATCCATCCACCATCAGTGTTATCAACCTTTCCTTCCCTTGCCAAAATTGTAGTCAAGACATATTTCATAAAGATGAGCATCAGTTGCTCATAAATGGTATAATTATTTGAATTTTGAACATAAGAAATGATGGTTTACAGTGGTAAAGAGGTATGTTGAGGGCCAGGTGCGATGGCTCACACCTGTAATCCCAGCACTTTGGGAGGCCAAAGCAGGCAGATCGCTTCTTTGTTCAAGGAGTTTAAGACCAGCCTGGGCAACATAGCGGAACCCCATCTCTACAAAATATACAAAAATGTTGGGTGTGGTGGTGGGGGCTTGTAGTCCCAGCTCCTTGGGAAGTCAAGGTGGAAGGATTGCTTGAGCCCAGGAAGTTGAGGCTGCAGTGAGCCATGATTACACCACTGCACTCCAACCTGAGTGACAGAGTAAGACCTTATCTCAAAAAAAAAGAAAGAAAAGGAAAAGGTACGTTAAAACATGTTTTGTTTTTGTTGAAGTTTGATGACCTTCCCTAATTTACTTATGTGGTTGAAATCAATGTATGTGTGCAAAGCCACTAAGAACAAAAATGTACCTTTCCAAGCTAATTTACCACATGTCCTATGAATGTTTTAAAAGGTAACAACTTAAAAACCAATAATACTGATTTGTTTTTTCTTTTTTCATACGGTGTCTTACTCTGTCACCCAAGCTGGAGTGCAGTGGCTCCATCTCAGCTCACTGCAACCTCCGCCTCCCGGATTCAAGCGATTGTCCTGCCTCAGACCCCACAAGTAGCTGGGATTATAGTTGCCCACCACACCCGACTAATTTTTATATGTTTAGTAGAGATAGAGTTTCACCATATTGGCCAGGCTGGTCTCAAACTCCTGATCTCAGGTGATCCGCCCACCTCAGCCTCCCCAAGTGCTGGGATTATAGGCGTGAGCCACCATGCCCAGCCTAATATTGATCTTATACTATCTCTCTGTTACTAGATCCTCCCAAAGTGTTTTGAACTCTTTTCCATAGCTTTACTTTTCCAAAATAGCTTTTTAAAGAGAGTATTACAGTGTCTAGATCCTGACTATTTGAGATAGTTGATGTATAAAGGCATTTACAATAAGTTACTAACATCATACAAACTGGCATATTTTATTTGAAGTGGATATATTCATTTGTAGTCAAAGGAAGGTAGACTTTGGGCTGCTTACAATTTGAAAGCCTGTTACCTTTTTAAAAAATGAAATTTGGCCAGCTGTGATTCACACCTGTAATCCCAGCACTTTGGAAGACTGAGGTGGGTGGATCCCCTGAGGTCAGGAGTTCAAGACCAGCCTGTCCAGCATGGCAAAATCTCATCTCTACTAAAAATACAAAATGTAGTTGGGCGTGGTGGCACACACCTGTAGTCCCAGCTACTGGGAGGCTGAGTGAGGAAAATCACTTGAACCTGGTAGGTGGAGGTTGCAACACTGCACTCCAACCTGGGTAACAGAGTGAGACTCCATCTCAGAAAAAAAAAAAATATGAAATTTGTCAATTGTGACTTGTAGAGTTTTGTTGTATATGAACCTGTCCCAATAACTGACTTTATCAAATATTGAAAGAACATTATTATGCTTTCTTTAAAAACAATGTTGAAATTCCTTGTATGCTGTAAATTGGGTCTCTTTAAATTCATTAGAGGTCTAAGTTTATTCAAAGCAAGGTCATTTATACTGGATGACTTTTTGCACTCAGATGACTTTTTGCACTTGCAAGTAGTTTTCCTTTTTGAAATATTTAACCACAATTTATCCATATAAGTTGTTTTCTCTGCCCTAAGTGCCGAGATAATGAAAATTATCATTATGCCTATTAAAAGAATAGGATTGTCCAAGAAGAGATCTTAGGGATGGGCCTTTGGTGCCTGGATTAAGGGGACTTTTAAAGTGTTTACTATTGTTGCCAGGCGCCATGACTCACGCCTATAATCCTAGCACTTTGGGAGGCCAAAGTGGGTGGATCACCTGAGGTCAGGAGTTGAAGACCAACCTGAGCAACATGACGAAAACCCATCTCTACTAAAAAAAAGTTAGCTAGGCATTGTGCTGCGCACTCGTAGTCTGAGCTACTAGGGAAGCTGAGACAAGAGAATAGCTTAAACCTGGGGCAGGGCGGAGGTTGCATTAAGCCGAGATTGCGCCACTGCACTCCAGCCTGGGTGACGGAGTGAGACTTCATCTCAAAAAAAGTGTTCACTGTTGAATTAGATAAACTTGAATTAATGTCTGTCACCATTTATTTTTGACAATATGAAATATAAAGTATTGCAACAAAACTTCAAGCTAGAATACCTAAATTTATGCATCCCGATAATTTATCCTCTTCAAAGTTGACCTATTGGGATTTGAAGTCCACAAATCATCTTGGAAACAATTTTTGAAGCATATCAGGATTTTTTCACTTTCTTCAAGGGTGACAAAAGTATCTTCTGAGAATAAGTTTAATGTTTTACAACACTCAATCATTTGGAGCTAAAATTGGCAAAAATGTGGTTGATCAAACTGAGTAACTTTTTAAATGAGAGATAAGGGGTAACCATTAAAAAGATTATTTTCTTTGTTCAACTTTTAAACTGTCCTTAAAGACCATTCTAAAAGATAGTATTAATAGTTTTCTGAGGTGACTATTTTTAAAGATACCACATTCTAGAAAGATTGTCAGATTTGTTAACTTTGTAGGTACTTCTTATTTTTCTGTTCTAACAAATACTTCGTTATTTTCACCTAGAAAAATAAATACTTATGATCTATTTTATTCCTCTCATATTAGAATATATATACTTTTTAATCTGTTTTTTAAACTACGGCTTCTGTATGATGAAACAGTCTAAAACTTGATGAGAAATTTTTTCACTCTGAAGTCTTAAGGGTGACAACTAGATTATAAAAATAACTCCATGTGAATGGATTTGTGTATGTGCTGTTGTCACTTATTGATACATGTATATTTCTTGTTTTCTGGTTAGATTTATTCTCCTGACCATACCAGCAGTAGTTTTCCATCAAATCCATCAACACCAGTTGGATCACCTTCACCTCTCACAGGTAGGCTTGTGTTTTATCTAACAACTTCACAACGTGTGGGGCTACTTAGAAATATTTCTAGTTTATTTCTCAACAAACTTTAATAAAAATTTGTGAAAAATCATTTAGATTTGACTATAAGAAACCATGTAAAGAGAGCCTTCCTCTTGAATTCATTTTGGAGAATATTAAAATATTTGCTAATTTTGAATTATTTATTAATATCTTCCCTGATTCTTAATGTAATTTGTGATCATTTCTAAGAACAGTAGTTACAACAGGATAAAAATAAGACAAGGCAATTGGAATTAAGATAAAATATGGAGAAAGAATGAAATCAAAAATTTTTCTAAAGTAATTTTTTTAGAGACAGGGTCTTACTCTGTTGCCCTGGCTGGAGTGTAGTGGTATGGTCTCGGCCCAATGCAGCCTCTAACTCCTGGGCTCAAATGATCCTTCCACCTCAGCCTCCTGAGTAACTGGGACTACAGGTGTATGCCACCATGCCAAGCTAATCTTTTTACTTTATGTAGAGACTGGGTCTCATTATGTTGGCCAGCCTAGTCTTGAACCCCTGAGCTCAAGCATCCTCCCACCTTGGCCCCCCAAAATGCTGGGATTACAGGTGTCAGCCACCATACCCACCCCCCCCCAAAATTGTTTTTATAAGATAGCATGTAAAATAAATAAGATTAGTTTATTTTAAAATACATGTAACTTCTTCCTTGTTCTCCACACTTACCATGTACAGCAGGTAAGATTCAAAGATGAATAACTACTTCTGCTAGATAGTCTGTTTTTATTTTTAGGTCAACTAAGTTATTTCACATAGAAAAAATTCTTGGGAATGATGTGGTTTTTCTGCTAAGGAAAGAACTCTCTGTGAAGGTGGATGAATATTGTTAGTGAAGATAAGTGGTTTACATTTGTTTTTGTTTTGTTTTGTTCTGTTTGAGACCGAATCTCACTCTGTTGCCCAGGCTGAAGTGCAGTGGCGTAATCTCGGCTTACTGCCACCTCTACCTCCTGGGGTCAAGGGATTTCCTGCCTCAGCTTCCCAAGTAGCTGGGATTGTAGGCACCCACCACCAGACCCGGCTAATTTTTGTATTTTTTTGTAGAGATGAACTCCATGTGAATGGAGTTGGCCATGTTGGCCAGGCATGTCTCGAACTCCTGACCTCAAGTGATCCACCTGCTTCATCCTTCTCCCAAAGTGCTAGGATTACAGGCATGACCTACTGCACCCGGCCCACATTTTTTTTTTCCTTAATATTTTTCACATTAGTTTAGACAAGTTCTAAATACTGTCCTGTAGTATAAATTTGTTGAGACATGATTGATGTTATTGTAAACAGGATTTTTTTTTTATTTCTTAGGAATAAATATATAAAAATCTTTAATATCTTTTAAGCTATAATTTTAAAACTTGAACTATATTTTTCTGAGCAGTGTTTGGAGAAAAGCCTTGCTGAAGAAAAAATATATTAGATTGTTTTGAGGAAAAGTTATTAGGCAACTGGATAAAGTTATCATATTCCTCCAACAATAGTTGAGGGAACAATTCTGTTTTCCTAATCAAGCCATTAGTTAAGTCCATGCAGTTTTGTTGTTGTTGTTAAGCCTTTTTGCATGGGCCATCACCTATGCTTTGTGTATTAGCCTTGTGGCTCTACTAAGAAGCATTCCGGTTTGGGGATGATGAACTGCTGGCAGCTGCTTTCAGCTATGAGCAGGTTCTGCCACTCTCCCAGACACCAGGGCTTCAGCTGTCTAGTAAAAGTTAAACAGCTGTTCCCCACATAGACAAGACTATGAAAGACCCATTGACTTAAAGTTGTTGTTTAGCAGAGCTGAAATTACAGGACGAAGGATGTAACTCTAACCCTACTCACCCTCTTTGCACAGTTTTACTAAAATTATCAATGTCATTTTTGTCACAGCTTGTTTCACTTTCTCATCTGAGGTATCCGTATCAGCATTCCCACTACCTCTCCTTGTCTGTCTAGTAAGATAGCTGCCAAAATATCCTTTGGTTTTAATGAACACTGAGTAGGAAGGCAGGCCATGGCAGAGCTCAGCATCTATGAAGGGTCATCAGTCAAGTGCAGAATCCAAGATTTAGACATTTTCCAAAAACCTAGTGGTCACAAGTAAAATCTCACATTTCCTCCTTCATCTTTATTTGATATTTAATGGGTGATGCTCTCTTTTTCTCTTTAATTCAGGTTGTTAATGAAAATCTGGACTGTTGAATTATGTAATGAAGGCTTCTTTTTCAATTCAGCAGTCATAATCAAAGAAAAGTACTTTCACATACTTGTGTTGAAACAGCAAATCAAAGACTGATTTTAAGCAGGTCCATCTCTCCTGTCTCCTGTATCTATGGTTCTTACCTAAACGCACATACACCCCTGCCCACCCATAGCAGGGCAGAGATGAGATGGAAAGAAGAAAGGAAAGCACTGTGTGATAAAATATTCACTGTCAAAGGGAGAAGGAAAAGAATAAGAGCAAACCAGAGCTCCTATATAAATATGTGGACATTATTTTGCATCTTGTGTGGCAATGGCCTGTTATCTAGAATAAAAAATTCTACCCACTGTGTGGGTGGAATTCTCCACACTTGCCCTATTCCTTATGCTTTTGAGCATCAGTTAGACTTAGCACAAGTCTTTTAAAGATAGATACACATGTGCAGAGCCACATAAGCAGCTTCTAAGGCTATCATTCTTTAAATCCCCAATGTTTTCCTTGGAAACTTTTCAGGTCAAGAGCATACATTTCTACACAAAGAATGCTTAGGAGGAAAGTTCTGAGATATTGTATCAGTTAGAATGCTTTAGGCTAAAATGAAAAGAAACTCTTGTCTCAGCTAGACTGAACAGTAAGAGGATTTATAATCTTGTGTAGTGAGGTCCTGGCCCCCTATGTCAGGGCTCATGCTCTACTTTGCAGTTCTTCCTCAGGCTGGTAGAAAGACAGTGTGGTTCAAGGTACTACATGCAGACGTAATAATCTCCAATAGATGAAAAAAGGACCATCTCTCTTTTTTTTTTTTTCAGTTAAAAATTCCCTAATTTTTTATTCCCGGTGCCACTACCACAATTTACAGGGCAATATCACTGATGTAGTGAAAAGAAAAAGGCAAAACCACAACAGATAAAAGACCTCAGGAATATACATCTTATTGTCACTACATTGCATTAGTCGGTAGCTACACTTTTTGCAAACTGGCTATGACAGTCCCGAACAAGAAGGGTTTCCTGTTTAAGCTACAGTAACTTTTCTGACTATGGATCATTGTTCCTTCTGTGGCAGATTTTTACAGTTCCTCTAATGCATTTGGGACAACTGTCTCAACGTAACCTACAGCTTTCCTGACAAGTCCTTGTTCTCTCTCCTGCTAAGAACTGTAGCCCTTTTCTGCTGTTTTTAGAACCTTCTGCTACCATATCCACCACTTTCACCACCATAGGGAATGCCTGAGCTTCTTCCACCAAAACTGCCCCCTTTCATGGGTTCATAGTTTGATTGCTGTTGTTCACTGTAATTCCCAAAATCATTATAGTTTCCACCACCACCATAGTTACCACCGTCAAAGTTTCCTCCATCACTCCACCACCACCACCATATCCTTGGTCCATCACCATCATAGCCCCCTCTACTACTATAACCAGGAATACCAATATAGTTGCCACCATCACCTCCAAATGCATTATATCCACCATCACCTCCTCCATAACTACCTCTGCTGCCACCACCTTCACCACCATAGCCTTCTCTTCCACCAAAGTTTCCACCACAGCCAAAATTACCTCCACCACCTCCAAAGTTTCCTCCATAATAAAATTGCCAGATCTACCTCTATGACCTCTTTGTTATCCAGCAGACTTCATCTCTTGTTTAGAAAGGACCTTTTTTACTTCACAGTTATGCCCATTAATACTATGGTGGTATTTCTTTTTTTTGTTTTGTTTTTTGTTTTTTTTGAGACGGAGTCTCACTCTGTCGTCCAGGCTGGAGTACAGTGGCCGGATCTCGGCTCACTGCAAGCTCTGTCTCCTGGGTTTACGCCGTTCTCCTGCCTCAGCCTCCCGAGTAGCTGGGACTACAGGTGCCCGCCACCTCACCCGGCTAGTTTTTTTGTATTTTTTAGTAGAGACGGGGTTTCATCATGTTAGCCAGGATGGTCTCGATCTCCTGACCTCGTGATCCGCCCGCCTGGGCCTCCCAAAGTGCTGGGATTACAGGCTTGAGCCACCGTGCCCGGCCCGTGTGGTGGTATTTCTGAACAACAGTTTTATCAACTGTATCATGATCATCAAAAGTTAATGAAGCAAATCCTCTCTTTTTTCCACTCTGCCTGTCTTCCCTAACGTCTGCGGTTTCAATCTTGCCATACTTCTCAAAGTAGTCTCTCAAATTATATTCTTCTGTTTCTTCTTTAATACTACCAACAAAAGTTTTCTTCACTGTTAGATGGGCACCAGACTTTACAGAATCCTCTGTAGAAGCAGCTCTCTTTGGTTCCACTACACACCTATCAGCCTTGTGTGGTCTAGCACACCTTGCTGCCTCCACCTCTTCAACACAAGAATAAGTCACAAAACCAAAGCCCCTGGAACGTTTTGTTTGGGGTCTCATTACCACACAATCTGTGAGTGTGCCCCATTTCTCAAAATGTCTCTTAAACTATCATCTGTAGTTTCAAAGCTCAGACCACCATAAAAAGTTTTCTCAAAAGCTCTGGTTCCTTTGAATCATGGCCGTCTTCCCCCACCACCCACCCCCACAGTGGTGGCAACGGCCGGAGGGCTGGGGGCCACCAGGCAGCAGTTTTACCTTCATTTTGAGACCAGATGACCGGACTCACCTCTTCCAACTCAAGTTCAGTATCCCATCTATTTCTTTTAAGAGTCTTTTAAAAATTATTTTAAGGATCCTTTTCCAGAAGCCTCTTAAACAGATTTCCCCTTATGTCTTATTGGCCAGCACTGGGCCTAATGCAGTTACTTGCAACAGAAATGGTGCCACCATGTTTATCTTAGCATCCGGATTTATCCCTAGGGCTAAGAACAGAATTGCTCTCTCCTGGTTCCTATTAGGAAAGGACAGACCCATCTCCAACACCCCTTGTGAACAAAATCAGTGCTCTCGCCACAAGATAGAAGAGAGGAATGGCTTTGTTTACTACAGTTATTTAGGAAAAGATGAGCATTTGCAGTAAGAGAATAAGTTTACTAAGGGAGCTTGGAAGGCAAACAAGCAAAGTCTTCCTTTGCCTTTCATTACCTCCTTCTGGAATATAAGTGAATAAAAGTTCAATAATTGTAGTACTCAATAGTAATCTTCAGAGCATTCACAGAAAAAAATAAAAATGAGAGAAAGAGAAATTCTAATCAATTCTACTAATTGATGAGCTACTTATTTTTATTACCTGTCAGACTGCCTGATGTTAAGTCAGTTACCTGACTTCAGCATGCTTTAACAAAGTGCGTTACACTAGAACAGGCCAGCCTGTAATAAAAACAAAGTAAGTTTAAGTGTATCTAAATTTTTTCCCAGTTTAATGAGTTACACATTGAGGATAGACCTTTGTACAGTTTTTTAATAGCACCAAAAATTATCTAGATGATTTATTACCCGAGTAATTTAGTGTGCACATCTGATTCCTCAATATTAAGCTAGTGAAGAATCACAAAAACTGCATGTTTTGCAAAAGCAGATGCATGCTGACAATTCTGAGGCATTTGAACATAAAACTTTTGTTAATGTTGCACACAAAGTAAGTAATTTGATGATCAGGCTCCTATTACAGGGGACTTACGGAAGGAGTAGAACAAAATGATTGAAAAGTAAAGTATTACCAACATTAAGATAAATTCTTTTTTAATAATTAAAGGTATTTTTCAAAATCGATTATGATTAAACTGGTCACCTAAAATTCATAATTCTACATCAGTGCTTAGAAAGAAGTAATGCACTGAAATTAGCAGTAAGGTGTTGGCTGGTTGTTTTTATATATTTTGCATATAGTCAGTTACTGAGATTTTCTGGTTGATCAGTTCAGCCTTTTAATTATAAAATTAGCCCACAAGGTTTTGAAGCAATGAGCAATTTTAGATTGTCCATAATTTGTTTGTAGTTGATTTATGATTACATTTGTATGTCTAGCAAGAAGCCTTTAATGGTCCTCAAAATAATTTGTTTATAATTTGCTTGTAAGTAAAAAAAAAAATTAACTGAAGTGCATATTTTTTCTCACAATTTTAGTATTTAAAATGTATTTATGTAATCATAACAGTATGCATATAATTGTGAAATATAATCAGGTTATGAAGAATCTGTATCCAACTTTTCATCTTGCAAAATGTATATAATTGATGAATACAGTTACTACATTGTTTCATAAATAAATAGTCTTGTTCAGCTAAAATGAACTATAATAGTTCTAATTTACCTCAAGTTTTTCTAAGACAAATAAATTGTAGTGTCACATTAACTTCCTAAATATGGCAAATTGACCTGCAATAAAAGGTTCTAGAGTGAGACAAATTAAACCTTCAACTTCCAACTTTGATTTCTAATATAATTCAAATTGTCACTGAAGCTTTTATTAAGAACAAAAATATATATTTAATTAAATAGTCTTTATTCTGTAAATGACTTATTTTCAGATGCACAATCATGAAATAATGAAGATTTTGATCAGTTGTTTTTGTCTTTTTACTTTTAAAGGTGTTTTCACAAGACCATTAAAACATTGCCTTCTGTCTAACATATGGATGAATTTTTTTTTATGCTTTTCTTTTTATACTCTGAACTTGTATCTTTTCTTTTTCTATCTTTATTTTTTAAATTAGATTTCTACTTTTCTAACATCACAGGATAAACAACATCTTACAGAAGTTTTTATAATATTTTCCTAGTTAATGTATTTGGTATAAACTATTTTGGGAAATTTTTAAACAGATGACCCCAAGATCATTTAGAATCATGGGAAATTTATTCATCTGTGTATTGCTAAAGGCACAATCAGTTAATATTACCCCTTGGTAAGGCAGTTTGTCCTTATGTTAATTTATGTATACCCTTTGATTCAGAAATGATAACTATCCTCAAAACATCCTTTCCCCTGGGGGAAAAAAACTCAGAGTAATGTTTACTTATATCACTGTTCATAATAGCCAAGTGATAACAACCAAAATGTCTAGCAGTGAAACAATAGTGGCTAAGCAAATTAGGTGTAGAAGCCAGGCACAATGGCTCGCGCCAGTAATTCCACCACTTTGTGAGGCTGAGGCTGGCGGATCACTTAAGGTCAGGAGTTCGAGACCAGCCTGGCCAACGTGGTGAAACCTCGTCTCTACTGAAAATACAAAAATTAACTTGGTGTGGTGGTGTGTGCCTGTAATCCCAGCTACTTGGGAGGCTGAGGCAGGAGAATCGCTTGAACCTGGATGGTAGAGGTTGCAGTGAGTCAAGATGGCACTAGTGCACTACAGCCCAGGCAACAGAGCGAGATGCCATCTCAAAAAAAAAGAAAAAGGCCAGGCACGGTGGCTCAAGCCTATAATCCCAGCACTTTGGGAGGCCGAGACAGGCAGATAACGAGGTTAGGAGATCGAGACCATCCTGGCTAACACGATGAAACCCCATCTCTACTAAAAAATATAAAAAAAAACCTAGCTGGGTGAGGTGGTGGGCGCCTGTAGTCCCAGCTACTTGGGAGGCTGAGGCAGGAGAATGGCGTAAACCCGGGAGGTGGAGCTTGCAGTGAGCCGAGATCTGGCCCACTGCACTCTGGCCTGGACGACAGAGCGAGACTCCGTCTCAAAAAAAAACAAATTAGCCAGCATGGTGGCACACGCTTGTAATCCCAGCTACTCAGGAGGCAGAGGCAGGAGAATCACTTGAACTCAGGAGGTAGAGGTTGCAGTGAGCCAAGATCGTGCCGCTGCACGCCAGCCTGAGCGACAGTGAGACTCCATCTCAAAAAAACAAACAACAAAAACAAACAAAAAAAACTAAGTGTAGAGAATAAGGGGAATATTAATGTAGTCATTAATAGTATTACCAAAATTTCTGTACAATGCTAGAGGAAGGGGGACAGAATTTTAAAAGTGTGTACATTGTAAGTGCATTTTCTCAAGATACATAGGCATGTGGAATAAGTCTAAAGAATGTGCAAACATAAAGGTAGCTGTATTTTAAATTACAGGGTTTTTTTTTTATTCTGTTTTCTCAGCTCCCTACATTTTTTTTTAATTAATAATGAAAGATTTTTAAAAATGTATTGGGCTTATAAGTAGCCAATACTGTGCTGAAGGCCGAACAAAAATATTCATGTAAATTTATTTAGTTATTCAGTATCTTTACCCTTTCCTTCACAACATTATCAAGATCACTGAGTTAACCCAGGTGTGTGGGTACTTTTGGGTTTTAACAGGTACCAGTCAGTGGCCCAGACCTGGAGGGCAAGCACCTTCATCCCCAAGCTATGAAAACTCACTCCACTCCCTGGTAAGAGCCTCTTATACACCAATTTTATCTGATAGCTTAGAGTTTGTTTGTTTTTAGTAAATCTGGCATAACAGTAAAGAAACAGTAGGCTAGCATTGCACACGAATTCTTTGCTAACAAATGGCTGATTCAGTTGAACAATATAAGACACATTGGGTATGCCTTTTGCCATCTGTTCTTTGGGACATCAGGCTTCTGGTGTCAGGACAGCTGATGTTAAAATTTTGTTAGGAGGATTTTTGTTTCTTTGACAAATCTAGGGCTTAATCATTCTATACTTTTATGTCTACATATAAAGGGAAACTTTTTTTAAAAAGACAAGTAAAAGCAAGAGAATTTAATCCAGCAATGCAAAATTTTTACTCTTTTGTATTTTACCCTTTCTCGTAATACTGTGTGTGGTTTATTACATTTCCATTAAAAATTTTAAGTGAATACCAGTGTTTTTTGTCATGAAAGTGTTATATGCCATGTCTTCTTGTGGGAAAAAAAAAAGTGTATTGTGCAAATCATACAAGCAAAACATTATTTAACAAGGCAGTAAAGGAACCTTCTAGATACTTGAGCGTGAAGAATTTGTGAGAGAATGTTGACTACTGTTGCTTTTGTATACTTGTATTTGTAACCCGGAATTACACGGTATAATAAAAACAAAATAAGGATGATTTGATGGAATGCTAAGTCATGCTCTCATTCGTAATTCCAGGTTGCAAAGAGAAACATTCTTTTTCTGTGACTAACAGAACATTTTAAATTGAAGGAACATTTGCTTCTCATGTATTTTGCAAGCAATTATAAGCAATGTGTGCTGTTTAGATGCTAACCTCGTAACTTCCCTGTTGAACCCCAGCCTTTTCATATCTTAATAAAATAGATCTCGCACGTCTTGGCGTTAACTTTACTAACATGTTATGCTGACATGCATATCAGCTATTTCCTCATCTCTTTTGGAGTTAATCTTAACCTGTGCTTTGCCTCCTGTTCTGTCTTGACTTTGCCAGAAAAATCGAGTTGAGCAGCAACTTCACGAGCATTTGCAAGATGCAATGTCCTTCTTAAAGGATGTCTGTGAGGTACTATTTCTTTTAGATGGTGCCTTTTTTGTGTTTCAATTAATTATACTTCCCATTATTCATTTAAAATCTTTAAGTTGTACAGACTCCAGTCTTTAAAAATCAAACAATTGACTATTTCAGTTTTTATCATAGTATATAGGAATACTTTTGTCTCTTATGTTGTTGAAAGTGATCCTTTTTAAAACAGCTCTACTGGCATGTGCTTTTGATTTTTTTAATTCTAATATGTTTGTGTATGGGGCATGTGTGTACCCACACACAGACAATACCATTTATTTAGTTTTGTCAAAGAACATATCTGGATGTGTTCACCATATAAGATACATGTGCTTTATATACTTAAGACAAAATTAAAACTTAAACTTACTGGATTTGAGGTCCCTTCCCCAAATTGCCATCATTCAAAGATCAGTATTAAAATATAGGTTGTACTTTTTTTTTTTTTTTTTTTAGCAACTCTTATTGAGAAATGACATAGTATCCTTCATCTTTTGTAGAGGCTAAAAGAAATAACCTCATGGTAGTTTGGTAAATTCATTTTATAAAGCAGTGATTTGTTTCTGAAGCTTTGAAAATTTAGCATAATCTACAGACAGATAGGCTTTTTTTGCTGTTGATTTATAGTTCAGGTGGTTGCTTTTGAAGCCACTTGATACTGCATTTCACTTGCTATCTTCCACATATCACATAGTAGGAAACATAGCAGTTAATGAATCTAACAGATGCCAGCAATAACCTCCATGTTTTTTTTAATCCATACAGCAGTCTCGAATGGAGGATCGTTTAGACAGACTGGATGATGCAATCCATGTGCTGCGGAACCATGCTGTGGGACCTTCCACCAGTTTGCCTACTGGTCACAGTGATATACACAGTTTATTGGGACCATCCCATAGTGCACCAATTGGAAGCCTCAATTCAAACTATGGAGGATCAAGCCTTGTTGCAAGCAGTCGATCAACTTCAATGGTAAAATCGTGCTCATCTTTTTTGTAGTAAACCCTAAAGATTGTTGTCCTAAATGTCTTTAATGAAATCTTTGGGAAGAGGATCTTTCTGAAAGGAAGGTAAAGACTGACTTTTCAGAATTTTCTTTGCTGTCTAAGTATTAGTCCATAAAATCTTCTTGTGACCTTGTGCAAAAAGCAGAAGCTTTCTACAAAGATTATTTTTAGCTTAAACTTGGATTTTTTTCCAGATGTGTAATAATTGGCACCACAGTTTTTGCCTTGAAATAGTGCATAGGAAATCTGAATAGCAAGAGTTCTGGTCTAGAAAAGTTGTTTATTGTAATTTAGAACCAGCCTTCAATGGTAGAAAGAATGTGAAACTGTAATTTATACAGGTCCAAATTTAAACTTTATTCCCAAACTTGGTGGGGAGGTAGTTTTAAGAATGGCTGTAATTTCAGTAATAAATAAAGGAAACAATTTTAGATTAACCCACAAAGAGAATTTTTAAGAACTCAGTCCATCTTTTAAAAAAAAATGGTAATTTTTAGAGGGGATGTTCATTCTACAGCCATACACATCAAAAATTCTGTGTTTACCATCTTACATTATTTTTTATTCAGATTATCTTTTAAAGAAATGAAATTCTTTTTGAACCTGATATTTTAAACTTATACCATGTGTTTGCATGTTTATGGCATGATTTTTAAGGTTCATTGCATGCTGTGAAATGTTCTTCTACGAAGCAGATTTTTAGGTGTAAACCATGTGATGAAGGCTAAAACTTACCTATCATCAAAATAATTATGCGCCCCAAATGCTGAAGGCTTGTATTCTGTAAGATAGGATTGGTTCCAGATTTTCACACTCACATATCATACACATACATATATACTCATTTTTGAGCCTCTGAAGTTAAACATCACACAAGGCTGCCTATTTTCAGCAGCATGGGTAACATTAGATGCCTGTTTTGTGTTCCTTTGTTTTTTTTAATGTCAGGAAATCTTGAAAATCAGTCTCCTTTTAAAGTACTTTTTATTGCTATTGATAAGCTAATATGTGTCAAAACATATGTAAGTTATTAAACTAGTAGAATGGGGAAATGTCACATGGCTCGCACCTGTAATCCCAGCACTTTGGGAGGCCAAGGCAGGAGGATTGCTTGGAGTTCCAAGACTAGCCTGGGCAACAAAGTAAGACCCCCATCTCTACAAAAAATAAAAAAAAGTTAGCCTGGCACAGAGGCGTGTGCCTGTGGTCCCAGCTACATGGAAGGCTTAGGTGGGAGAATCTCTTGATCCCAGGAGGTCAAGGCTGCAGTGAGCCATGTTCGTGCTACTGCACTCCAGCCTTGGCAATAGAGCGAGACCCTGTCTCACCAAAAAAAAAAGAAAGAAAAAAATATGATTTTATGGTATAATTAAAGGAATTTGTTACAAATATGAATGCAGAATATTAATAATTTGTTGAAATACTGTTTATCCTTATTCAGAAGCATGACTTCAAAATCAATATGCTTGAATTTTAAGTTAGTCTCAGCAGCAATGTTTGCAGTTCTTATTCCTTACCTCTTAATGATTTTTTAATTATTCACTTTTACTAGCTTACTGCTCCTATTCCAACTTATCAGCTACAGTATTTAATATGTATCTGGCTCCTCCCAGTTGGAGTTTGCATAAAATGGGACTTCTGTCTTGAGAAAGTTGTTTTTTTACCAATTTCAGATATTCCATAATAGGAAGGGAGACTTATCAAAATCTAGTCCTCCAAAGCCACCTAAAAACCTAATGCATTTTAGTAGTAGGACTGTTAGAGGGAAAAATTCTTTCATTGGATGACACCCTAAAACTTATAACTAAGAAAGTAGCTCCCACTATATGCTGAAGGAATGTACTGCCCACTTCAGAACAACAACAGAAGGTCTGGCAGGGATAGTTTTTTTGTTTGTTTTTTGAGATGGAGTCTCGCTCTGTCACCCAGGCTGGAGTGCAATGGCGTGACCTCGGCTCACTACAACCTCTGCCTCCCAGATTCAAGTGATTCTCCTGCCTCAGCCTCCTGAATAGCTGGGATTATAGGCACCCACCACCACATCCAGCTAATTTTTCTGTTTTGAGTAGAGATGGGGTTTCACCATATTGACCAGGCTGGTCTCGAACTCCTGACCTTGTGATCCACCCAGCTTGGCCTCCCAAAGTGCTGGGATTACAGGCGTGAGCCACTGCACCCAGCCAGAGATATTCTTAAAAAGAAAAAAATCTCAAAGTAGTCTAGAAAAAATGGTCTCCTGAGACGTGAGGTGAGTCTGGCTTAGTCTGAGCTGCAACATTAGTGCCACAGCAGCTAGCCCAAGCTGTTGTTCAGTGTGTCTGTCACGGCCTTCTCTTCAGTCCTTACTACCTCAGTGGGTACAGAGCTGTGGAAAATCTGCCAGAAATCATCTGCTATTTTCATCTCATCCAGACACAATCAGTAATACTTTTAGCAGTGGAGATAAGATGTACCTGCCAGGCTTAGCCTCAAAATATAAAGTTATTAGCTGACAAAATCTGACACTGTTAGGTGAGTCAGTATTCATCTCCTGTCCTTCTGAAGTAAGCCTTTTAGCTGCTGAGTCCTCAGTTCTCAGCTTCAACAAAAAGACCAAAGGATGGAATGAAAGGAAGATTAGTCTGCCACTGACTATCCCCTCAGAGTCGTAGGCATCTTACTGAGGAAGACTGTCTTGTCGTGGTGGTTCTTTTCCATGTCTGAGGACTTCCATTAGTACTACTGGGATCCCTTTGTTTACATGCTCAGCACCCACCTGTATGGCATCAACTCTTCATATTCTTGCAGAGTGTGTGATTTTGGGAGCACGTTTTTGTAACTCTTGCCAACTGTCTCCAAGAGTTAATCTCCAGCTTTTATTTTCCCCTGGTCACAACCATACATCCTCCTAACTGATCATGACTAAGAAATAATGTGGTTTTACATTCTGGAATCAATTCCCCACCCTCCCTCTCCGCCTTGTTTTTGGTCTCTTACAACTTTCCAGAAGTTTGTCTATCTTTTCCTGCATTCGCATAAGTTAAAAAGAAAAAAATCTCAAAGTAGTCTAGAAAAAATGGTCTCCTGAGACATGAGGTGAGTCTGGCTTAGTCTGAGCTGCAACATTAGTGCCACAGCAACTAGCCCAAGCTGTTGTTCAGTGTGTTTTAGGCTCCTGATAATGGAGGCTACGTGGCCAAACTTACAAAGTGATCACAGACACGCTTGTTGATCAGCAATTTTGTACCACCGTGTAGAATTCTTGAGGTCAGCTGCTTTCAAAAACATTTGCTTTTCATTATTTCAGTTGTTTATTGCAGAGAATAGAATTATTCTGATAAATGTAGGTATTTTCACGACCTCCACAGAACATTCAGATGACATTTTTGTTATAATGGAACTTTATCCTAATGGGCAGAATCCTAATTGTAGGGTTTAAATATATCACTTTTCCTCCAAGTATTTAGAAAAGGGTTCAATATGCTTTTTCTATAAAGGGCCAGAGAGTAAATATTTTCAGCTTTGTAGGCTATATAGTCTCTGTCACAACTACTTAACTCTGACAATATAATATGAAAGCAGCTATAGACAATATGAAAACAGATGGGCATGGATGTATTCCAATAAAATTTTATTTACAAAAACAAGCTCCTTTATTTACAAAAACACAGGTCACGATTTGGCTACAGGCCAGACCTTGGGAATTCCTGATTTATAACATAAATTGGCACCCCAGCAGATACAATGGGGCTAGCATGTTTTTTCTTTTTCTTGGAGCCTATAACATTTGGCTTATGTTCATGAGTAGTTTGAGATTTTTGTTGAAGTAATTGTAATACTTGAGGCGAGCCAAGACACACTGATAGTGGAAGAGTAAGAGTTGATGGCAGGATAAAAGTGGTACAGGCCAGGCATGTAGTTCACACCTGTAATCTCAGCACTTTGGGAGGCCAAGCTGGGTGGATTGCTAGAAGTAGGAGTTTGAAACCAACCTAGACAACAAAGTGAGAACCTGTATCTACAAAAAAAAATTTTAATTAAGTGAGCATGGTGCCATACACCAGTGGTCCCAGCTACTCAGAAGGAGGCTGAGGCAAGAGGATTGCCTGAGCTCAGAAGTTTGAGGCTGTAGTGAGCTATGATCATACCACTGCACTTGAGCCTGGACAACAGAGTGAGACCCTGTCTCTTAAAAATATATATATATATATAAATTTATTTATATGTATAATATATATTTAGATAGATTAGATAGATAGATAGATAGATAAGATAGATAAGATAGATAGATTAGATAGATAGAGGTACAGACAGGTCAGCTCCCAGTCTGCAGTACAGACAAGTCAGTGATCAGGGTTGCTAGCAGTGTAAAGTTTACTCGGACACAGTAACCATTTGGCCAAGCATTTCCTTGTCCTCATTAGTATTTGATATTGATATGTCATTTAAATTTTAAAACACGAAATCAAGAGTTTTTAGAACTATTGAAATGTCAGCATTTGGCTTCAGTTTTGTTCCCATTTATTTAGCTAAGGCTAAGCTTTTAGAATAAACTACTGAGAAGAAAAATTTTTTAGTAGAAAACTGAAAATAAAAGGAATCACGAATTTTAGCAATGTATGGTGGCTTACACCTGTAATCCCAGCACTTCGGGAGGCTAAGGTGGAACTATTGCTTCAGCCTAGGAGTTCAAGACCAGCCTGGGCAACATGGGGAGACCTCATCTTAGCCATATGTGGTGGCTCATGCCTATAATCCCAGGTACTTGCGAGGAAGAGGTGAGAGGATCACTTGTTCCAGGAGTTCAAGGCTGCAGTGAGCCGTGATCACACTACCACACTTCATCCTGAGTGACAGAGTGAGATTCTGTATCAATTTTAAAAAAAGAGAGAATCATGAATTTCATTTGAGCATTTCAAAGAGCTCTCTGCAGTATAAAGTTTGTGTACATCCCATCGATTTATGGCTGTAATACCTAAGTACCTAGGCCCAACAAGATAACTCCATCGAAGTACCTTTCTCTTTAATGAAAAGTACTGTTATTTCTCAATCAGACAGTAACTTCAACTTCAAACCAAAACTAAATGAAATTCGAAGCATTTTGTACTAATGGAAACTTGATGCAGATCTAAAACAGTTTATTATTCATGACATAGGATAAAATTTTATCTGTGAGATCTTTTGATTTCATTGTTACAAGTCCTGATAAAATTTAATCCAGGCATTTCTCTTAGTTTTTGGTATTGCTTGGGTTTTTTGTTGTTAAGTGGTGGTTGAAGAAGTGACATATTCTTGTATGAGAGCATAGTAAATAATGTTAAATTATAAAATGTAAGTCTGCCTTATACAATCATTTAAAAATATAAATCATATCTGTTTTCTAAATTTTAAAGCAGTTAGAGAAACTATATTTTTCTTAGTTGCAGGAGACTTAAGACTAAGTAAAGACTGATAGGCAAAAAGAGTAATATTTTATTCAAAATTATCTTGGCATTTTTGTCATTTATCAAAATAAATTTGAAATCATTTTAATCTTCCATTTGGACAGTGTTTAATTTTGGTAAAGGGGTTTGTAATACAGTAGAAGTTGTGTGTCTGTGTTTCAACTGAGTAGAAGGATTTTACTTTTAACCACTCTTTTACCCTTTCCAAGTAATTTTTCCTAAATGGGCAATTTTTAAAATTTTTATTTTTATTAAGACTACATTATAGTGCTTTTTAAGGCTTTTGGTAACATTTTAAAATTCACAATTGTTCAAAATGGCAACTTTTTTTAAATTTGAAAAACGTAGAGGTGATACATTTATGGAAATATTTAAAAGGAACCATAACAAATGTAATACTACCAAGTTTCTAGTAAAACCTCTCTTCAGATAAATCAAAATCTTGGAGTAGGCAGTATATAAAGATCCTTTAACCAATCTGTAAATTAATAGTGATTAATTTAAATCATTAGTATTCAGTGAATAGTACAAATTGAACAAATTATTAGAATGGAATTCAAAATCAAGAGGAATTCATACTGTTTTTCAGTTTGTCCTTTAATTCACAAGACCTCTTATTAATCAACTAATTAGATTTAACATTTTTCCATTGTGAGTGCTAAAGCCATTGGCCAAATTAAATGGAAACAAGTCCATTGTTGGGTGCTCCCAGAAAAGTAAGGCCATACATAGATTGCGAAGATTGAGTATGCAGGATGGTGTCATTTAATGGCATGGGCCTTTTATTCTGAACTGGAGCTCTTCATAATCATTGAAACATAGAGGGTAGCAGGCCTTGGGGTTTGCCTTGCCCTGCTACTCCCCCAACAGCCGCAGCCTGTCAGCTGTATGCTAACGAGGTGAACAATTAAACTGAGTCCTATCTGGCTGGCCCCACAGGCTCTAGGCTCAGACAAAGAACTGTTTATACACCTGTTGTATGTGTAGACAGAGCCATTTGAATGTGGAGCTGCAGATTAAAGGGAAGACTTGGGAGCCCAGGAGAGCAAGGGTTAAAGAGAACTATAAGAACTGTGAAAGTCAAATTCTCCAGAAAATATATGAGGGCCATTTGCAAGGGGAATCAAGTTACAAAGAAAAAGTTCCTGCTAACTTCATTAACATGAAAAACTCCAGACTTCAAGCCTTCTTCTAGTCTGAGGCCTTTTTTTTAAAGGCTTATATTTTTGCTGTGTGTGCCAATTAAATTTTTTCTTTTGTAAACTATGTTTAAGTTCATGTGAGAAAATACTTAGTTTGTATTATTCTATAGTGTAAAAATATTTGCTGGTGTTTCTGTTGCAAAACAAATCTAGCACCCTTTCTGATTTTCCTTAAGGGAAAAGTAAAATTTCTAAGATTTATTATTTAGATAATGATCAGACATTTTTTTAACAGTTGAGTTTTTAAAAAATCAAAGAATTATTTATACTGATAAAGTAAAAGGAAATCAGAATTCAGCAGATGCATCATCACTTAGATAAGTGAAAATTCAATTTGTTACTGTCAGTAGTATTGCCTTACATAGCTATAAAATGTTTCACATGTGTAACATACACTAAGTATACATATGTTTAAAATTTAAATTTTAGAAGGCTATTTCCTTTTAAATTACTTGGTGTGGTAGTTCAAAATGTTATGTAAAAACAGAATTATCACATATTGCCAGGGATCATCGAAGTTTCAAGTCCACATTATTATAAATACAAATACACCTCAGCTTTTACTTTAACTTACAATTATTTCCCCAGCCCATCAAAATTCTCCTAGATGTATTTAATCTTTAGAGTAGGCCTTATCTTCCAAGGTTCCAAAGAATTTGCAGCCATATATTGTGTTTGCCCATATCTATTTTTATAAAATGGGATTTTGAACTTCCTTTCCTCTTAGATCACTGAGTACTTCATAGTAAGAAAGCACCCTCGTTCGTTAAGAATAAACAAGACCATGATACCCTTGAAACAGAATTTCTTGAAACATTTTAAAAATAATTTGCTCTCTTAAATACAATTTTCACAGTCCATTTCTTTACTGATTGTTAGGTTGAGTACTTCCGATTCTTCTCAAGTTTTTTAGGGGAACAACTGAATACTGAAACTTTCTGAAAGTGGGAAGTGGGATGGAAGTCTGCCATAGTTTCTGTGGTCCCTTCCCAGCTTTAAGATTTTGTGATTCCAATACATGGTGAAATTGTGTGGTTTAGGAAGAGGGTGTAGTGGATGCATGATTATTACCTAAGGGAGTAGTGACACAAATAGTGCTCAGCAATGACCAATCCTAAAATCGTTTTAAAAGTAACTATTGAATTAAATTTTAAAATCCACTAAATGGGCTTCTTAAAAATAAAGATGAGAATAAGTGTAAAACACAAACATTTCTTAGAAAGTGTGGTGGAAGAACGAATCTATTCTAACTAGATCTACTACCAAATGACCTGTATTACCTAAAATTTTGCTTTGGTTCCTTTTGTTTAGCTCACAGAAAAACCAAAGGATAAACTCGCATAGGGGTATTTGTTCCTCTTAGGGTAAAATCATACAAAGTCATGGAAGATAAAAGCTGTATTAATTACTCAAGAGGGATTCAAAGCTTGGCAGTTTACTAGGATTGAAGGATTTATTGAAAAACAGTGGTTCTCATGTATAACTCCAGGCAATAAACCTATTTAATTAAAAACTTAATCTTCTAGTTGACACGTCTGCTACTATTCTAATAAAAACTTCATCTGTAACAAGTTTTTCTATGTATATTAATATTGCAATAGCTGACTGTTTGATGGTGTTTGCATGCTTTAGCTTTTCTATTTCAGGTTAACTGTGACTCATATAAGTTTGATTAAAGCTGAAAATAAAAATACATGCCAATTTTGCTGCCTAGCAATGCACAACTTTAGTTCTTTTGTTGTTGTTGTTTGTTTTTTTGTTTGTTCGTTTTGTTTTGTTTTTGAGACAGAGTCTTGCTCTGTTGCCCAGGCTGGAGTTCAGTGGCGCGACCTTGCTCACTGCAAGCTCCGCCTCCTGGGTTCACACCATCCTCCTGCCTCAGCCTCCCAAGTAGCTGGGACTACAGGCACCTGCTACCATGCACAGCTAATTTTTTGTATTTTTAGTAGAGATAAGGTTTCACCATGTTAGCTAGGATGGTCTTGATTTCCTAACCTTGTGATCCGCCTGCCTCTGCCTCCCAAAGTGCTGGGATTACAGGTGTGAGCCACCGCGCCCGGCCTAAATTCTTTTAATTTTGTATTGCTTTTGTTGCTCTTTCAAAAATTTTGAAGGGAGACAGAGAAAAAATAAGATACTATATATGATAGAGGGGCAAACTTAGATAAATACTACTATTGCTTGGAATGTAGAAGTATTTTGTTCAGTGCCAGTTCATGCATACTGTAATGTATTTAGGTATTATATGAAATAGATTTTCCGACTGATTATATAGGATTATTAATAGACCCTATGATGTGTAGTGCATTGTGACTTATAGAATGCTTTATCAGCTCATTTGTTTCTCACAAACACCCTCTGTGGGATTTAAAATTTACAAATTAGAAGTTTCATTTTTAAAAAACAGTATGTGTTCTTTTGATTTAAAAGCAGTACTACTGTGAAGTATTAATATTTTGAAATTCTCCCCAAAAACCAGAATAATGACATCCAGAAAAAGTTGCTGAAATCAGATGAGTGATACTGTTTTCTCTATTAAACCAAGTAGAATAATTTGGACAGTTATTGCCCCTGAACTATCTTGGTCATTTTTTTATTTTTGGGTTTTTGTGGATTTTCTTTAACTTTAGGTTGGAACTCATCGGGAAGACTCTGTCAGTCTCAATGGCAATCATTCAGTCCTGTCTAGTACAGTCACTACTTCAAGCACAGACCTGAACCATAAAACACAAGAAAATTATAGAGGTAACTATATTGTTGGTTTTCAGATTTAATGCAGACAGAGATATCATTTGAAACACTCTCACCTTTCTCACAGCTGGATTGACATCTGTGAATCAAAAGTCATTTAGGTGAGGGAATTCCAGATAGTACTGTGGAGAGCAGATATTTAGGGTTCCAACTGGCCCACCTAGGTTGACAATTACAGATACTTATTGGTGAATAGATCCACCTATAGACTATTGTTCAGTGTTTAACAGTTATCTTTTACCTCTTCCTGTTCTGTCATGTCCCTCTTCCTCAGACATTTTCCCTCATGAATGTGTCTTCATGGTCCCTAGAGGCAGTGACAGATATTTCTGACTATACTGAGAGCTCTGAATGATGGAAGCTGTTGTTTTAGAGATGATCGTTTGATTGAAGAGACATACAGTTTCAATAAAAAACAAACTTGATCACTGCTCCAATAGAGCTTACAAATAAGTGTGAAGATAGAGCACTTAAAAGTGCAAATAAGATCACCAAAATAAAGTTCTCCCAGTTACATTTAACCATGATGCCTATTTTACTGTGTATCCAGGAAGATGTTAAGCTTATGTCCTTTACCTCTGCAGCATCTTAGAAGTTAGTTTCTAAAATCCGTTGTTTCTCATCCTTGTTCTTTTGTTAAATAGTGCCTGAAAGTGAGCATTAGACTGGTCATAGGGGTCAGACTTGTTCTTTTAAATATAAATGCTGTTAAAAAGCACAAGGATGTGGACATATTCTTTTCAGCTCTAAATAGTATACTTTCCTACATCTTCAAACCTCCATCCTAACCCTGTAACTGCTAAGGATATTCACCAGCTAGAAAGCTTTTTATTGTCTTAGCTCTAATTCATAAATGCGTCTCGTCTTTTATCTTTCCTTTGCCTCTTTGTTAGGTGGCTTGCAGAGTCAGTCTGGAACTGTTGTTACAACAGAAATCAAGACTGAAAACAAAGAAAAGGATGAAAACCTTCATGAACCTCCTTCATCAGATGACATGAAGTCAGATGATGAATCCTCCCAAAAAGACATCAAGGTTTCATCTAGAGGCAGAACAAGGTATTTGTTAGCATCCAGGTTTTAAATTTTACTCATTTTCCATAGGTAAAAATACTTGAGAAGTTGGGTGTCATGCATTTATTAACTACCAGCTATGTTCTAGATATCGTGTTAGGATTTTTGTGTATGTTGTCTCAATCACCACATCATCCCTATAAAAGAGAAGTATATGAAGGTTTGATTTCAAAATTATGTTTTCCTTCATACTACACCATTTGAGGGACTATATATAAAATATAATTATATCTCTTCGCTCAAGTTGCTTAGTCTGTTAGACAAGTAGAAGGTAAAATAGCTAAAAGAAGTTAAATTGTGTGTTACGGACATTTAGATTTTATCAATTAGTATTTGAATATGGTCAGGTATCACTTAACAACGGGATATATTCTAAGAAATGCATTGCTAGGCAATTTCATCATTGTGCAAACATACAGTATACTTTCACAAACCTAACCTGTTCCTAGGCTGTGTACCTGTATACCATGTTACTGAACTGAGTGCTATAGGCAATTGTAACACAATGATAAGAATTTATGTATCTAAACACCTAAAAGGCACAGTAAAAATAAAAGATAAAAAATGGTACACCTGTATAGGGCACTTATCTTGAATAGAGCTTGCGGGACTCGAAATTGCTCTGGGTGATTCAATGAGCAGGTGGTGAGTGAATGTGAAGGCCTAGGACATTTCTGTACACTATTGTAGACTTTACAGACACTGTACATTTAGGCTATATTTCATTTATTAAAACATATTTCTCTTCGATAGTAAATTAACCTTAGCTTACTGTATGTCTTTTACTTTAAAAACTTTTACATTATTTTTAACTTTTTAACTCTTGTAGTGATAGCTTAAAACACAAACACATTATATAGCTATACAAAAATATTTTCTTTAAGTTCTTTTGTAAGCTTTTCTTGTTTTTTTGGGTTTTTTTTTTGTTTTGAGATGGAGTCTTGCTCTGTCACCCAGGCTGGAATGCAGTGGCATCATCTCAGATCACTGCAACCCCCGCCTCCTGGGTTCAAATGATTCTCCTGCCTCAGCCTCCCAAGTAGCTGGGATTACAGGTACCCCTCACCACTCCAGGCTAATTTTTGTAGTTTTAGTAGAGACGGGGTTTCACCATGTTGGCCAGGCAAGTCTGGAACTCCTGACCGCAAGTGATCTGCCTACCTCAGCCTCCCAAAATGCTGGGATTACAGGCATGAGCGACCGTACCCGGCCTTTGTAAGCTTTTTTCTATTTAAATTTTTTTTTTTACTTTTCAAACTTTTTTGTTAAAAACTAAGACACACACACACATGTTAGCCTGGGCCTCCACAAGGTCAAGATCATTAATATCACTGTCTTCCACCTCCACATCTTGTCCCACTGAACATCTTCACAGGCAGTAACATGCAGGAAGCTGTCATCTCCTATGGTAACAAAGCCCTCTTCTGGAATACCTCCTAAAGGACCTGCCTTCAGATCTTACAGTTAACCTTTTCTTTTTTTGTTGTTTTTTTGAGATGGAGTCTCGCTCTTGTCACCTAGGCTGGAGTGCAGTGGCACAATCTCAGCTCACTGCAGCCTCCGCCTCGCGGGTTCAACCAGTTCTCTTGCCTCAGCCTCCAGAGTAGCTGGGACTACAGGTGCCTGCCACCACGCCCGGTGAATTTTTGTATTTTTAGTAGAGATGGAATTTCGCCACGTTGGCCAGACTGGTCTCGAACTCCTGACCTCCAGTGATCTGCTTGCCTTGGCCTCCCAAAGTGCTGGGATTACAGACGTGGGCCACCGCACCCAGCCAACTTTTTTTTAAGTTAGAAGTATACCCTAATGATAAAAAGTATAGTATAGTATAGTATAGTATAGTATAGTATAGTATAGTATAGTATAGTATAGTATAAATACATAAACCAATAACGTAACTAATTATTATCAAGTACAGCAGGTCCTCAAAAAACATCATTTTGTGAAATGATGAGGAAAAAAATTGATTCCTAGCTGGAGCCTCTTTCATTGTAGAGTTTGCACATTCTTCCCACGTCTCCTCATGTGGGTTTTCTCTGAGTACTCCAGTTTCTTCCTTCACCCCGAAAATGTGCATTAGGTTGATTAATGTGTCTAAATTGTCCCAGTATGAGAGAGTGTGGGTGTGTGTGAGAGTGTGCCCTGCAATGAAATGGCATCCTGTCCAGGGTAGTTTCTGCCTTGCTCCCTGAGCTGCTGGGATAGGCTCCAGCCTCCCACTGACCCTGAACTGGAATAATTGGGTAAATAGTAATCTTACTTATTTGTATGAGTCTTTCTTAAATGTATGAATAGTTCACATTTATTTCATTGTTTAATATTAGAAGTGTATTTTGGTCTTTATTTAGAAGTTTGGTGATATTTTGTCACCAGAAATGTACTCTAGGAACTTACCTCTTATTTATATCAATTAACCTATGATAAACCTGGTTTTATTGTATGTCATTTTGCATGAAGTTGCAGTTTCCAAGAACTGATCAATGACATTGAGGACTTGCTGTAGTGTATACTGTACTTCATTGCATGCTTTTATACAACTGGCAGCACAGTATGTTTGTTTATATCAGCACCTATACAAACAATGCATTACATGACTAATGTGCTGCAGCCTTACCACAGCTACATTACTAGATAGTAGACATTTTTTAACTCCAATATAATAAGACCACTGTCATATATGTAGTCCTTCATTGACCAGAATGTTATTATGGGCTCATAACTGTGTATTAATATAAGGGCTAAATATATGGTAAGACTGATTTAATTAAACAAGGGGTCTGCAAATTATGGCCCATGGGCCTACCCAGCTCACTGCCTATTTTTGTTTTTGTTTTTATTATTTTATTTGTGTGTGTGTGTGTGTGTGTGTGTGCGCGCGCGCGTGCGCGCATGTGTATTTTAAGACAGGGTCTCACTGTCACCCAGGCTGGAATGCCATGGTGTGATCTTGGCTCACTGCAGCCTCAGCCTCCCAAGTGGCTGGGATAACAGGCAGGCGCCATGCCTGGCTAATTTTTGTATTTTTAGTAGAGACAGGGTTTCACCATATTTTCCAGGCTGGTTTCAAACTCCTGGCCTCAAGTGATCTGCTCACCTCGTCCTCCCAAAGTGCTGAGATTACAGGTGTGAGCCACTGCGCCCGGGTGCTGCCTGTTTTTATAAAGTTTTATTAGAACACCACCATGCCCCATTCATTTACCCATTGTCTGTGACTGTTTTCATACTGCATTGCCAGACTAGAATAGTTGCCACAGAGACTATATGGCCCACCAAAGCTGAGAATATTTACCATCGGTCCTTCTCAAAAAATGTTTGTTTTTAACAAACATTTAAATAGTAATTTGAGAAAAGTATGAAAAAGGAAGTATTCTAGACAGAATGATGTCATGGAGTTTTCTAGAAAATGGACTTGACCTTGCTTTGAAGTGTGAATACAGACACATAGTACATTAGTTTCAAGTGATTTCCAGATTTTTCCTTCAAATTTTTCTTCCAGTTCTACATTAAAATTAGATGAGTTAGGCCAGGCACAGTGGCTCATGCCTATAATCCCAGCGCTTTGGGTGGCTAAGGCAGGAGGATCACTTGAGACCAGAAGTTCAAGACCAGCCTGGGCTACATAGCTAGATTCTGTCTCTACAAAAAGTTATAAAAACCAGCGGGGCATGGTGGCAAACGCCCGTAGTCCCAGCTACTTGGGAGGGTAAGGCAGGAAGATTGCTTGAGTTCAGAAGTTTGAGGCTGTAGTGAGCCGTGATCATGCCACTGCGCTCTAGCCTGGCTCACACAGAAATGCTGTCTCTAAAAAAAAATACTTTTTTTGATGAAAATTTAAAAGTTAGATCATTTAGTATATTTGTGGTACACCCTATTTCTTGGCATACATACTCATTTATCAATGATATGTATATATGTTATACAGATTTAAAACATCGTTCTTTGTGGTGAATTATGGTGCAATGAGGATAGTAGATAAAACTAAAAGAAGCAGAATGGTCCTTTCTGTCATTCACGTACTTAAAACGGGTCCTTTTGCTCTTTTGACATTCTCACTGTTTTCAACACCTAAACATTTATCTTGGGAAAAAGGAAATCTTATGATGTTAATGTTGTTACTTTAATATGCATTGTACTCAACTATCAGGGGCATAAGGAAGGAAAAACTGTGTCAAGGAATTCAGAGACCACTCTATGGAGGCATCTTAACTCTTACATAGTTTTTATTCAAATAGAATTTTAAGGGAAACAATTTACATCTTTCCTCCGTATTCATCATCTTATAGATCAGGAATCAGCAAACTTTCTTTATAAAGGCCCAAATAGTGACTATTTTAGGCTTTATTGGACACACAGTCTCTGTCACAGCTACTCACCTCTGCCATCATAGCACAAAAGTAGCCAAAGTCAAATGGGTATCGCTGTTCCAATAAAATTTTACTTACAAATACGGATGACCAGCTCATAGATCAGTTTGCTGACCCATATTATAGGTCATCAGAAATTAGGAGGCAGCGTGTGATAGGTTAGTAATAGTCCATAATAATGAATAGGTTAATAACATGACCCTTGGACAAAATAAGGGTTTGAATTCTGGTTCCATTACATACTTGCCAAGTGACTTTGGGCAAGTCTTTGAGCTCAGTTTCTTCTTCTCTAAAAACAGACTTTCTGTTACAGGATTCTTGTAGGAATAACCTGAAAATGATGCATGTAAAACCCTTTGCACACTGTATAGCACACAGTAAGCACTCAATAATGATACTATATCTACTGTTACAGTGGTAATGTTATGGTGGTAATTTTAAGTGTATGGTGTAGGCTTGCTTCCATGGAGCACTGACCTGACATCTCATCATTATACTGCCACCAATTAGCTATGTGATCCTAGGTCTTGAAGTGGTTCTCAGCCCTGCTGCACAGACCCTGGAACATTTTAGAAATACAGGTGCCTAGGCCCCAACCCAAACTCACTAAATTAGTGAGTCTAGCATCCCTGGTAGTGAGATCTGGAAAGCTGTGTTTTTTAAGTGCTCCTGGAGATTCTAGTGAGTGGCTATCTGTGGACACCATTGGGCTCATTGATCTTTAAAAGCCCTTTTGAAGTCAAAGAACCAGTGATTTTCTTTTGTCAAAAGAATGCATTTATATAATTCTTAGTGATTAGCAGGTAAGATATTACATACTTTTTAGAGACAGGGTCTCTGTTTGTCACCCAGGCTAGAGTGCAGTGGACAATAACCTCAAACTGCTGAACTCAGGCAGTTCCCCCATGCCCGCCTCAGCTTCCCAAACCACTTAGGTTACAAGCACGAGCCACCATGCCTGGCCTGTGTACTTGTTCTTTTATTAGAATACTCAGGGTATTAAAGAAGAGGTAAAAATGTCTGATATTTTTGCACATTATTTCAAGGTTCTGAGAAGCCATGGTCAGTAATTTATATCTGAATCATAAATAGAACTTTCTATAAGCTGTTACAGAGCATCTCCCTCATATTTTTTTTCTGATTATGTAGTCTATTTTCATTACAGAAATTTAGAAAATACAGAAAAGTATACACAGAAATCACAAGAAACCCCACTATTCAGAATTAACCACTGTTTACTTTTTTTTTTCCCCTGATAAGTTCTAATTTGATTTTACTGTGGTCTGAGAGACAGTTTGTTGTGATTTCTATTCTTTTACATTTGCTGAGGAGTGTTTTACTTCCAATTATGTGGTCAATTTTAGAATAAGTGCGATGTAGTGCTGAGAAGAATGTATATTCAGTTGATTTGGGGTGGAGAGTTCTGTAGATGACTGTTAAGTCCACTTGGTCCAGAGCTGAGTTCAAGTCCTGGATATCCTTGTTAATTTTCTGTGTCGTTGATCTAATATTGACAGTGGGGTGTTAAAGTCTCACGTTATTATTGTGTGGGAGTGTAAGTCTCTTTGTAGGTCTGTAAGAACTTTATGAATCTGGGTGCTCCTGTATTGGGTGTGTATATATTTAGGATAGTTAGCTCTTCTTGTTGCATTGATCCCTTTACCATTATGTAATGGCTTTCTTTGTCTCTTTTTATCTTTGTTGGTTGAAAGTCTGTTTTATCAGAGACCAGGATTGCAACCCCTGCTAGCTTTTTTTTTTTTTTTTTTTCCGTTCTGTTTGCTTGGTAGATCTTCCTCCATCCCTTTATTTTGAGCTTGTGTGTGTCTTTGCACGTGACGTGGGTCTCCTGAGTACAGCACATTGATGGGTCTTGACTCTGTCCAATTTGTCAGTCTCTGTCTTTTAATTGGGGCATTTAGCCCATTTACATTTAAGGTTAATATTGCTATGTGTTAATTTGATCCTGTCATTATGATACTACTGGTTATTTTGCCCATTAATTGATGCAGTTTCTTCATAGCGTTAATGGTCTTTACAATTTGGCACGTTTTTGCAGTGGCTGGTACCGGTCGTTTCTTTCCATGTTTAGTGCTTCCTTCAGGAGCTCTTGTAAGGCAGGCCTGGTGGTGACAAAATCTCTCAGCATTTGCTTGTCTGTAAAGGATTTTATTTCTCCTTCACTTATGAAGCTTAGTTTGGCTGGATATGAAATTCTGGGTTGAAAATTCTTTTCTTTAAGAATGTTGAATATTGGTCCCCACTCTCTTCTGGCCTGTAGGGTTTCTGCTGAGAGATCCGCTGTTAGTCTGATGGGCTTCCCTTTGTGGGTAATCTGACCTTGCTCTCTGGCTGCCCTTAACATTTTTTCCTTCATTTCAACCTTGGTGAATCTGACAGTTATGTGTCTTGGAGTTGCTCTTCTTGAGGAGTATCTTTGTGGTGGTCTCTGTATTTCCTGAATTTGAATGTTGGCCTGCCTTGCTAGGTTGGGGAAGTTCTCCTGGATAATATCCTGAAGAGTGTTTTCTAACTTGGTTCCATTCTCCCCATCACTTTCAGGTACATCAATCAAACATAGATTTGGTCTTTTAACGTAGTCCCACATTTCTTGGAGGCTTTGTTCATTTGTTTTCACTCTTTTTTCTCTAATCTTGTCTTCTCGCTTTATTTCATTAATTTGATCTTCAATCACTGATATCCTTTCATCTGCTTGATCGAATCAGCTATTGAAGCTTGTGTATGCTTCACGAAGTTCTCGTACTGTGGTTTTCAGCTCCATCAGGTCATTTAAGGTCCTCTCTACACTGGTTATTCTATTTAGCCATTCGTCTAGCCTTTTTTCAAAGTTTTTTGCTTCCTTACAGTGGGTTAGAACATGCTGCTTTAGCCTGGAGAAGTTTGTTGTCACTGACCTTCTGAAGCCTGCTTCTGTCAGCTTGTCAGACTCATTCTCCATCCAGTTTTGCTCCCTTGTTAATGAAGAGTTGTGTCCCTTTGGAGGAGAAATAGCGTTCTGGCTTTTGGAATTTTCAACCTTTCTGCTCTGGCTGAGTAGATAAAACCCCACAAAGATAAGGTTTTATCTGCCTTTGGTTTTTGATGTTGGTGACCTACAAGTGGGGTTTTGGTGTGGGATGTCCTTTTCGTTGATGTTGATGCTATTCCTTTCTGTTTGTTAGTTTTCCTTCTGACAGACCAGCCCCTTAGCTGCAGGTCTGTTGGGAATTTGCTGGAGGTCCACTGCAGACCCTGTTTGCCTGGGTATCACCAGCAGAGGCTGCAGAACAGCAAATATTACTGCCTGATCCTTTCTCTGAAAGTTTCGTCCCACAGGGGCACCCACCTATGTGAGGTGTCTTTCGGTCCCTCCTGGGAGGTGTCTCCCAGTCAGGCTACATGGGGGTCAGGGACCCACTTGAGGAGGCAATCTGTCCATTATCGGAGCTCGAATGCCATGCTGGGAGAACCACTGTTCTCTTCAAAGCTGTCAGGCAGGGCTGTTTAAGTCTGGAGAAGCTGTCTGCTGCTTTTTGTTCAGATACGCCCTGCCCCACAGGTGGAATCTAGAGAGGCAGTAGGCCTTGCTGGGCTGCAGTGAGCTCCACCCAGTTCAGGCTTCCCTGCCACTTTGTTTACACTGTGAGCATAGAACTGCCTACTCAAGCCTCAGCATGGCAGATGCCCTTTCTCCGGCCAAACTTAAGCATCCCAGGTCAATCTCAGACTGCTGTGCTAGCAACAAGCAAGGATCCGTGGGCCTGGGACCCACTGTGCCAGGCACGGGAGGGAATCTCCTGGTCTGCTCGTTGCAAAGACCATGGGAAAAGCGCAGTGTTTGGGCAGGAGTGTACTGCTGCTCCAGGTACAGTCACTCATGGCTTCCCTTGGCTAGGAAAGGGTAATCCCCCAACTCCTTGCGCTTCCTGGGTGAGGCGATGCCCCGCCCTGCTTCAGCTCACCCTCCATGGGCTGCACCCACTGTCCAGCCATTCCCAATGAGATGAACCAGGTACCTCAGTTGGAAATGCAGAAATCACCCATCTTCTGCATCAATCTTGCTGGGAGCTGTAGACCAGAGCTCTTCTTATTCGGCCATCTTGGAAGTGACCCACCTCAACAATGTATTTTTTTAAAGTGTTGTGTTTTTGTTTTGGATCAGCTTTATTGAGGCTTAATACACATGTAATAATAAAATTCACTAATTTTAAATATATAGTCTGTATGTATGTTAAAATGTGTATATTTTGTCATTTTGACAAGTGTAAAAGTTATATAACAGCCACCATATTCATAATGTTGAATATTTTCACCACCTCAAAAAATGTCCTTATTCCCCTTGGTAGTGAGTCCCTTTCCTCAATCCCATGGTCCTTGGAAGCCATTGATCTGCTTTCTGTTACCATAGTTTTGTCTTTTCTAGAAGTTCACGTAAATGGAATTGTAGAGTATGTATGTGATCTTTCATGACTGGCTTTTTTTACTTAGCATAATCTGCAGCTTGATTTTAGAAACTACATAACGGTGCATTGTCTGAATGTACTATGATTTATTTAACCTATTTCCTATTATTAGATCCCAATATGTTGCTAATGTAAATAATTCTGTGATCATCTCCTTTTACATAAATTTCTATGTGCATCTCTAATTATATCCTTAGGATGAATTTCCAAAGTTGGAATTGCTGATCAAGAGGTAATAAACATTAAGGCTCTGGATTCATTTTGCCAATTTGCCCTTCAAAAAATTGTGTCTTTTCTCCCGTGTTTTATAATCATCACCACTGATGATAATCTCTCTCTAGAACACAAAATAGCCATTTTCTGAGATACTTCTCTCAATCTGTATCTTAAGCTTTCCTTCTTTCTTCTTACCAGGTAACCGCCAGAGTATATTTAAGAGCATAAGCTAAGTAAATTATACATTCATGTACTAGGAGGGCTTTCAAACTGTAATGTGTGTATCAGTCATCTGGGGAACATGTTAAAATGCAGCTTCTAATTCAGTAAGATGGGAGTAGAACCTGAGAGATTCTACTCCAGTATTTTTAATAAGCTCCCAGTAATACTGATGCTGCTGATTTGTGGATCACATTTTGTGTAGCAAGGTGCTGGTATATTTTGTAGTTGTTGATCTTATATTTATGAAGAGTTTCTGGAGAAATCTTTATGCTATAATGTTCAATGAAAAATGCACTTCAGAGTGTGTGTATGTGGTATATTTCAACTATATGACTGCATATGTGCATTGAAGAAAAATTGGAAAGGAATATACAGTCATGTTAACTGCACCTATTACAACTGTTTACAAAATTTATAGGTAGTTTTCATATCCATCTTTACACTTTATAGTTGTGCACAATCAGCATATCTTACTTTATAGGGAACCTAATAGACTTTGTCGTTACTTTATTTTCTAGCAGTACTAATGAAGATGAGGATTTGAATCCTGAACAGAAGATAGAAAGGGAGAAGGAGAGGCGGATGGCTAACAATGCCAGAGAACGCTTACGCGTGCGGGATATTAATGAAGCATTCAAAGAGCTTGGCCGAATGTGTCAACTTCACTTGAAGAGTGAAAAACCCCAAACAAAACTCCTTATTCTTCATCAAGCTGTGGCAGTCATCCTTAGTCTAGAACAGCAAGTCAGAGGTAAGTAGGTTCAGCCGAGATGTATAACTGTTCTGCTTCAGATGGGCAGACATTTCTGTTTATAGTTGCTCTTCTGCTTGGGGAAGTTGTTTGTTATTTCTCCCAGTACTTCTGCTACTGTATCATCAGGGTCGTTTTTCTTGTATTCTCACCTCTGTCTCACTGTATTACCCAGTATCTGTGGGCTCAGTGTTCTCGACCATTAGAGAGTAATTCTGTCAAACAAAGCAGAGAACAAGCAGCCTCTACCTGCTGCTCAGCAGTAGTGCTTTGTGTCCCTTTGCTCTGGTTGCTTCTGATCTCTCAACCATCAAATTTACCTGCCTGGACCTGCCCTCCTCCCTGCTCTTTATGTGTTTCCTACTTCTCTGTATTCATTTTCTTGCCTGCTCTACTTTAGAGTATCTACCATGCCCTGCTGGTTAATAGGATGCCTTGTCATGGTCCCTTCTGCCTTTGCCAGATACCTTTACACCCATATAAATAAGGTCTCAGGGCTTCTTTGTTGACTCCAGACCAGAAACACCAAAAACTTTTTGGGCTAACATACATTGGCATGCCTGTGTGTCCTTAAGGGCAAAACAGCTCACCCACTGCTGACTCACTTTCATTTTTCAGGAAGTTTGTTGCAGCCTTGAAGAACCTTTGAAACTTCATTTGTTCAATGTGTATTTATTGCATACCTCCTGTGTTCCAACCAGCTATGTCCTAGACCCTGGGTTGTCAAATAATAGAAACTTCTTGTCTTTAAGAGGTTTTACCATCAAGCTTGAGTTTCTCCATATACTTACATATTGTCTTAAAATATCCTAAGCCTTTTTGCAAGGAATTCATAGATGTGGCCCTAGGTTCCAGATCTGACCACTAGTCTCTCTGAAAGGAATTCTTTTGATTTTGTGTGAAGAAGGTTCAAAAAAGAATAGGGTGGGCAGATGCTTGAAAACTACAGCCATGGAGCCTCAGCATAGATTGCAGAACGGGTACTCTTTCTTAGGAAAACCAGAGTTAGAGAACTTAAACAAACTTGCAGAAATATATACAGTAGTAGTTAATTCATCGACTTCCCTCCAATATATTTAATGAATAAGAATGAGGGGTAGATCATTTTGTGTATAATCAACCTAACGTTAAAAATGGATACTTGATCCTCTTCTCCCAAGGTCCTTGAAATATCTGTGGAGTATAAATGTTAATGAAACCTAATCTTCAAAGAGTTATAGACTCCCTTGGGATATCCATAAGGAGGCAGATTGTTACCCACTCACCTGTGGCAGAAGCAGTGGTTCCTTGAACTACTGATACCTCCTGTCACTTTACCAATGTTTTTTTTTTTTTCTTGAATTGTGTCTGACACCCTTTGTCTCGCTCTGAAGGCAGCAAGGCACCTGTGTTCAGTAGTTCAAGTACACTCCTCCTCCTCCTCTTCAGCCCAGGATATCTTCTACCCTGACCTCACCCAGCCATTTATTGTTAAAGCCACTGCCTCCATCTCAGCTGTGAAAATCTTACTGTCTGGTCAACAGGAGTACCAGAATTTATTCTAATACACAGCATCTTTTCCTCCTGTAGTGCATTAGAATCAGAATGCAGTCATTTGTGTTTTAAAAAACTTTTTTTTTTTAAACACAGAGATACCTACTTCAGATCTAAGCCATTAAAACGAGAAATACTTCTGTGTTTGAAAAACACAAACATAAATAAATAAAACATAAATTCTACCATGCCTAGATGGACCTTATTCATTTGTAACATTGGAATTTGCGGTGGTTCCATGCGGGCACCTAGAACAGAAAAGCTGAGTCTGAGAGAAGATCTATCATCTAGGCTTTCTTACTACTGACTTTCTGGTCTGTTATGGGTACTGACTATTTCATACAGTTCTGCAAAGCTCTGTCTAAGGAGTCTTTGATGAGAGTTTGAACAGATTTCACATACACTGAACTGTAACTTCGTTAGGGATTGCTTTGATATTCAGAAAAGCCTACTTCTCCCCTGCCTTCAGGCTGGGCTTGAAGCCTTGTCTTAGGACTTTACATAAAAGCCCAGGGATCTTTGTAAGACATGTATGTATGTAGGTATGTATGTAGGTATGTATGTATAGATGGTCTCATTGTTGTCCAGGCTGGTCTTGAAATCCTGGCCTCAAGCATCTATAGGCTCAAGCCACCATGCCTGGGCTCAGGCTCCCTGAAGGACACTATGGTGGCTGTCATATAGGGTTTAGAACCCTTCATACAGGCCACAGTACCTGTGCCTTGTCTTTGGCAACACCTTCAGAGTTTTGTATAGCCACTGTCTTTTCCTTGATTTACCTATAGTTTTGAGTTATTTTGGTGACTTGATCACTTTTGAGAGCCTCTTCATCCCTACAGGGACCCTCCTTCGCAGTCCCTGATCCAGCACTTTCTATAAAATCAGCTTTTGTTTACATGACCTATTTGGGCATCCTCTGCACTCAGGCTTCCCTTCTGGTTTGGGATGATGCTTCAAGACTGTATCTGATTGTGACCCAACCTGTCACAATCCCTGGATAAGTAGTTTTACCAGGAGGCAAGCTGACCCAGGTCTAGCAGTTCATTCCAGAGAAGAGTGAGAAGAGTGGCTTCTCTTCTAAGCCTCAGATTGTGCCAGAGCATTTTTTGTGCCTTGTTGCCCCACCTGTCAAACCCTAAGTCCCCACTGCCAATTTAAGCTTTTCCATTTTCCTGACTACGTTATTTGTACCTTTGCCATTTTTATTAAACAAATGACCTTCAAGTTTGTACTGTCGGCATTACTCAGGACTCAGTGGTTAAACATTTCCTCCTCTCAAGCTCTTTCACAGGTCAGCTCAGTCAGCTCACTGTTCTTTTGATAATTTCGTGATAAGAGAACTATTAGATTTTCAGTTTCCTGTTCTCCAAGTGAGTTTGAAGATAAATGGTCTAGGACAGTGGTTTTGAAATCTGGCTGGTCCCAGAAGCACCTGAAGCTTTTCTTTTCTCAAACAGTTCCAAACCTTGCCCCCAGGGGATTCTGGTGCAATGAGATGGTTAAATTTGGTAGACTTAGCATATGCAGTGATGATACTACAGTCTTTCCTGCATCCCCACTAACATAAATAAAAATGACATTTATTTTAACCCGCAATGACAAATGAGAGAGGAGACCATAGCAGATGAAATAGCAAAAGCTGCATGTAGGATAGAAAGTCAATGGAATAGTGGTACTTACTTACTTGTTTCTAAGTACCAAAGAATACATGTCTCAAGAGTGGTAAGATCTAATGTTGTGCTAAACACATTGATTTCTTAAATGCCCTGAAGTTAAAATACATAATCATGAAATTTCAGGGCATTAGGGTAAAAACAATATTCTAAAGCTTCTGGAGATAAAATATAAATAGCTTACAGATAAAGAAACAAGAATCAAAATATCATCAGCGTTCTGGACAGTAGTACTGGATTCCAGGAGATAGTGGAGCAGTACCTTCAAATTTCTGAGGAAAATAATTTCAACCTAGAATTCTTTTTTTTTTTTTTTTTGAGACACAGTCTCGCCCTGTCACCCAGGCTAGAGTGCAGTGGTGTGACCTTGGCTCACTGCATCCTCTGCCCTCTGAGTTCAAGTGATTCTCCTGCCTCAGCCTCCTCCATAGCTGGGATTACAGGCACACACCACCATGCCCAGTTAATTTTTATATTTTTAGTAGAGACAGGGTTTCACATGTTGACCAGACTGGTCTGAAACTCCTGACCTCAGGTGATCCACCTACCTCAGCCTCTCAAAGTGCTGAGATCACATACGTGAGCCACCACACCTGGCCGGTTTCAACCTAGAATTCTATATGTTGCCAGACAATCAAAGGTGAAAGTAGAATGAAACTATTCCACATAAGCTGGGTGTGTGCCTGTAGTCCCAGCTACTTGGGATGTTGAGTCAAGAGAACCACTTGAGCCCAGGAATTTGAGGCTGAAGCGAGCTATGATCATGCTGCTACACTCCAGCCTGGGTGACAGTGCCAAGTCCACCCTGTCTCTAAATAAAAATTAAGTTGGCAGCCGGGCACAGTGACCCACACCTGTAATCCCAGCACTTTGGGAGGCTGAGGCGGGCAGATCACGAGGTCAAGAGATCGAGACCATCCTTGGCAACATGGTGAAACCCCGTCTCTACTAAAAATACAAAAATTAGCTGGGTGTGCTGGTGCACACAAGAAGTCCCAGCTACTAGGGAGGCTGAGGCAGGAGAATCGCTTGAACCCAGGAGGCAGAGGTTGCAATGAACCAAGATTGCACCACTGCACTCCAGCCTGGCGACAGAGTGAGACTTCGTCTAAAAAAAAAAAAAAAAAAATTGAGTTGGCTAGGCACAGTGGCTTATGTCTATAATCCCAGCACATGGGAGGCCAAGGCAGGAGGATCGCTTGAGCCTAGGAGATGGCTGGAGACCAGCCTGAGCAACATAATTAGGCCCCATCTCTTAAAAATTTTTAAAAATTAGCTGGGCATGGTGGCTCACATCTGTAGTACCAGCTGCTTGGGAGGCTGAGGTGGGAGGATCGCTTGAGCCCTAGAAGATTGAGGCTACAGTGAGCTATGATTGTAGGACCACACTCCAGTCTGGGCAGCAGAGTGAGAACCTATCCCAAAGAAGAAAAAAAAAAAAAGATATTTCAGATATGCAAATCCTTTAAAAATTGACCTTCCTTGTACATTCTTTTAAAAAATAGAGACAGGGTCTCACTGTGTTGCCCAGGGTGGTCTCAAACTCCTGGCACAAACGGTCCTCCCACCTCAGCCTTCCAGGTAACTGGAACTGCAGGCATTAGCCACCATACCTGGCTCATGTATATTTTTTCAGAAAGCATCTGGAACATATGCTTTAGCCAAATAAGTGCATAATCAACAAAGACAAATGCTATAGAATCCAGGAAACAAAGGATTTAAGATAGAAAAACAGCAAAAAGAAATCCCATGACAAGAGCTACTGGGCCTAGAGAGCAACTAATCCATTGAAAATTGAATATTATTAGCAGCAGAAGAAAGGTTTCCAAGGAAAGAAAATGGAATTAATTGATAATACGATGTGTTCAAGATTAGGAAAATATATTGATAGACATTTATTAGATCTCTTGGAGCATTCAGTGGTGGGGTTGGGGAGATGGAATTTGCATTACTAACATGAAAAAACAAGTAACTAACTATAGGAAAAATAAACAGTTATATGAGCAAGGGAGCAATTACTGTAAAAAAAAGTTTTTCTTTCTCTTTTTTTTTCCAAGTTAAGGTCAGATGGGCAATGTGCTGAGGTCATAACAAATTTGGAGGGTGGCACATCTCACACACACTCATGAACACCCAGTCATCATGCTCATGAACTACAAAAGGATCAAATCTTTCCTCCCTCCCTCCTTCCCTCTCTCTCCCTCCCTCCCTCTCTCTCCCTCTGTCCCTCCCCCTCTCTCTTTCTGTCCCTCCCCCTCCCTCCCTCCATCTCTCTCTCTTTTTCTTTCTTTCTTTTCTTTCTTTTTCTTCTTTCTTTCCTCCTTTTTTCTTTTTCTTTCTCTCCTTTCTTTTTGTCTTATGCTTTCTTTCTGCCTTTCTTTCTTTTTCATTCTTTCCTTGTGTCTTCCTTCCTTTTGTTTTTTCTTTCTCCTTTCCTTTCCTTTTTTTCTTTTCTTGTCTTGTATTTTCTTTTCTTTCCTTTCCTTTTCTTTCTTCCTCAGGGTTTTGCTCTCTTGCCCAGGCGGGAGTGCAGTGGCACAATCATGACTCACTGCAGTCTCAACCTCCCAGGCTCAAGTGATGCTCCTACCTCAACCCCCTAAGTAGCTGGGACTACAGGCGGGTACCAGCACGCCTGGCTAATTTTTAAATTTTTGTAGAGACAGGGTCTCACTATCTTGCCCAGGCTACTGTAAAATTCTTACTTCGGCAGCTATCTCCATATAGTCATAATAACATAAATATTTTCCTAGTCATAATAATGTCAGAAGTGACTAGTGAGTTAGCCAAAAGTTTTGCTATAAACATGTGGCAAAGTTGATGTTATAAGAGAGTGAAGTCCTCAGCTACATAAGAAGTCAATAGATTGAATTCCCGTAATTGAAATTTTGGAAGACATATTTCTCATGCCCTGCAGGTAATGAGAAGTACCAGACATTTCTGGCTACTTAACACACGTTTGCCATGGTCTTCTGTCTCACACCAAGAGGTATGAAAGAGTAGCCTTAGCTTTTTTTGAATCAAGGTTGTGTATTTACTTTACATTTCCTAGAGTCTGCCATAGTATTGTTCCTCCTGCCGGAAGTGTTCTTTGTCTGACTCTAGGAATCTGGAAAATCTTGCCTAATTTACTGAGTTTTTGGTGCTGGTCCTTCCCAGCATTTCTCATCATGTCTCTTAGATCCTGGTGTGATAGAGTCACTGTTAGCTCAGAGCAATTTTCCATTATAAAGAGAAATGTGAGCCTTTTTTCAGTTGGAAAATTTTCACATCTCACATTCTCCTCTTAAGTTTTACATACTAATTTATGCCCTCTTCTCAGTCTCTCGGGTCGTTATATGAGACTTAACCTCTACAGTCTCTCTTTTATTTTTTTTTGGAGACAGAGTTTCGCTCTTCTTGTCACCCAGGCTGGAGTGCAATGGCGCGATCTCAGCTCACTGCAGCCTCCGTCTCCCTAGTTCAAGTGATTCTCCCGAGTAGCTGAGATTATAGGCACTTGCCACCATGCCCGGCTAATTTTTTGTGTTTTTAGTAGAGACCATGCAGGCTAGTCTCAAACTCCTGACCTCAGGTGATCCACCTGTTGTGGCCTCCCAAAGTGGTGGGATTACAGGCATGAGCCACCGCACCCGGCCCACAGTCTCTTATAAAAAATAAACTGATGAAGGACAAACTCTTATTTGTTAGAGGTGCACAACTACTTATTAAGAAAGTAGCTCTTAATATTTTTTACATAATGATGAACATGGTATTTTCTCCTACTAGTTATCCTGCTACATTAACTAAGAGTATATCTTTCTTTCTTCATTCATTCATTCTTCTTATAGTTGTTTAGGCTCTGTGTCTTTCCGTAAATACAAGGGCTTAGAAAATTAGAACTCTAAAATGAAATTTTATTAATATTCATCACTGGTAGTCAGGAGTCAGCTAAGTTTACCGTAATGAAGTTTTGTTTACTTTTTTAAAAGTTCAATGCAAGCTATAAATGTTGATTGAAATATATACATTCAAATCCACTTTTACCTCACTTTAAAGGGAAAGCCAGCACAGTGGCACTTGCTGGTAGTCCCAGCTTTTTGACAGGCTGAGGTGGGAGGATCCTTTCAGCCCAGGAGTTGAAGGCAAGCCTGGGCAACGTAGTGAGACCCCATCTCTGAAAAAATGGTCGGGGGTGGGGTGGAGACATGGAAAAAGGAGAGCTGTAATAATGATACATCGGCTATGCCCTCATTTCAAGAAAATCTGACATAAAATATTACAACTTCTAAAAAATACTATTTTCATTCCATACTAATTACAAATGATCCCTTTATATTATATTCATTAGGGCATTTTAATCCATTTATAAAAATATGTGGAGCAACTTTTAACCTGTATGTTATAATCAAATAATCAAATAAAAAACTATATCAGAAGCTATGGATATCTTGGGCTTAAAACTCATTTTTTTAAAAATCCAACAGAAATAGTAGTGTGTAAGTAGATTTTGATCCAGTGGGTCTTTGATTTGATGGATTTTCTTTCCCTTTATTTCTCACAATAGCACCCTATTTCTTTTTTTTTGTTTTTGTTTTTTTTGAGACAGTGTCTCCCTCTGTTATCCAGGCTGGAGTGCAGTGGTGCAATCACTGCACCTTTGACAACTGTCGGGCTCAAGTGATCCTTGTACCTCTCAGCTTATTCTTTAACCTCTTTTGAAAATGCCCATGTCACAGATCCCATGCGGTCTTCTTTGTTATCATAAAAATAAGAAGCAGCAGAGGTTTTTACCACCCTTTTAATAACACCTCCAGCAATAGAAAGACCAACTCAGTCATCTCGTTTCACATATATATCAAAGTAGAAAAGTAACATGTGCACCAATTATCTATCCCTCTCCCTTGAACTGGCACATTTCCTATAGAAGAGGGGTCCCCAACCCCTGGGCCCTGGACCAGTACCAGTGGCCTGTTAGGAACCGGACTGGCTGCACAGCAGGAGGTGAGCAGAGAGCAATCCAGCGAAGCTTCATCTGTATTTACAGACACTCCCCATTATTTGCATCTCTACCTCCTGTCAGATCAGCAGCAGCATTAGATTCTCATAGTGTGAACCCTATTGTGAACTGCATATGCAAGGTATCTGGGATCTAGGTTGCCTGCTCCTTATGAGAGTCTAATGCCTGATGACCTGTCCTTCTGTCCCATTACCCCCAGGTGGGGCCATCTCGTTTCAGGGAAACAGGCTCAGGGCTGCCACTGACTCTATATTATGGTGACTTGTGTAATTATTTCATTTTATATTACAATGTAATAATAATAGAATTACAGTGCACAATAAATGTAATGTGTTTAAGTCATCGTGAAACCATCCTGCTCCCTTCCCCCCGTACCCAGATCATGGAAAAATTGTCTTTCACGAAACCAGTTCCTGATACCAGAAAGGTTGGGGATCACTGCTTTAGAGGAATAGCTGAGGATATCTCTTACTTTATCCTTTTCTGAACTGGTAACTTTTAGATAAAGCACAGATGTCTCTCTCTAAGTACAAGATGTCAGCATTCATGTCAATTCAGTGTACCGTGTCTTAGCAGGACATTGAAGAGACTTGGTAGCCTAATAACAAGAACATTTGCCAAAATGTTTGAGTGAAGAGTAGCATTTTGATTTAAATCAAATCAAACCCTAGAAGACTAAATCATGAGCAAAAAAAATGAAGAAAACACAAAATGGTCACTTAGAAGTATAAATCTGGAGGCTCAGTTCAATGCTGAGGTTTTGTGTGAACACATTGTTTCTTCTGTGTGATGGTACTTAGTATGGGAACGAAGTTACACAGAGATTGGTAATCCCCACAGAAAGAAAATAACGCAATTTGTTCAGCTTGAGACCTAATTTATAACTTAAAACCATAGTGATAAAAATTCTTTCCTCCTGTTTTAGAGAGGAACCTTAACCCCAAAGCAGCCTGCCTTAAGAGAAGGGAAGAAGAAAAAGTTTCTGCCGTATCGGCAGAGCCGCCAACCACACTGCCAGGAACCCATCCTGGGCTTAGTGAAACTACCAACCCTATGGGTCATATGTAAACATCAGCCAGGTAAGTACGGGTTTGAAAAGAAACAAGGAAATAACCTTAAGACTCATCTTAAACTGGGTTAGAATCTTTGAACAGAATTCTCTAGTGAGCAGTGGCCATTGTAAAGGTCACAGGTAATTTGAAATACAACAGTTTGTCTTTCTGTTACATTATCAGACTTAGAGAGCCAGTGTCATTTTATACAAAATTACCATTTTCTTCAAAGTGTGACAGTACCTTGTGACTTTGGTTCTTCTGTTCTGAATCGTCATGTTTACCCATTTACATGAGTGTCTTCCTGATCCAAGAAGAAATAATAAAGTGACTCAACCATCAGAAAACGTTCCTGCTACCACTCATGTTCTTCATTTCTTTATTCAGAAATGCTTGACTATATCATCAACCAGTTTTCTGCTAATTATCTAGCTCTTTGTCATGAAGCCTTTATATATGAAAAAGTTATTACTTCTATTTGGATCAATAATGCAAGTTTATGATATGATGCTTCCTCCCCACTTGCAAGCACATCAGTTAACACCTTCTAGAATCTATTAATGTATGTGAAGTTATTATATATGGTAGAGCCAGAATGCCCTTCTCTCTGGTGGAATTTTACTTGTTCAAGGACTATTCTTTATATCTTTCTCTTCATGGACTAAACACAATTCAGTTCCTTGTGATTTTTTTTTTTTTCCTCAAGACGGAGTCTCGCTTTTTTTTCCTCAAGACGGAGTCGCCCAGGCTGGAGTGCAGTGGCACAATCTCGGCTCACTGCAGCCTCTGCCTCCCAGATTCCAGCGATTCTCCTGCCTCAGCGTCCCGAGTAGACTAGCTGGGATTACAGGTGCGCACCACCATGCCTGGCTAATTTTTGTATTTTTAGTAGAGATGAGGTTTCACCATGTTGGCCAGGCTGGTCTCGAACTCCTGACCTCAAGTGATCCACCCGCCTCAGCCTCCCAAAGAGCTAGGATTACAGGCGTGAGCCACCTCACCCGGCTGGTAACTTCACTTTTATAACCTGCCTTCAGCAGTATGTAGGTTTTTTTCCCAATTTTATCAACAGATTAAAAGTAGTAAGTAAAGGCAGATGAGTGTGGGGTGTGGAACAGAAAAAAAATACCAAGTGCAGTTTCATTTGGTCAGTTTTGTGGCTATCTCATTTTGAACTGAAAGTCTGGAATTTGATAGAATATTTGATAGATAAACTACAAATATTACTAACTCACCTTTTCCTGAGGTTGTAGTTCCTGAGGTTGTAGTTCCTACAACCACTATATATAGAGGGTCAAATGAGACCACATATAGGGTCAAACCAGAACACACAGAAGATTTCATTTAGGGTAAAAGAAAGAAAGAGTTAAAGCAGTTATTTCATAAGTCAATTATAACTGTAACGTTAGCACACTGGAGAAAACCTCAAACTACCTCCCCCACAGAAAGTATCCAGCAGTCTAAGAGATTGTACATGTCAGAGACTTTAGGCAAGAGCTAGTTTACAGATCCTCTAAAACCTAAATCATTGTTTCATACTCTACAGAAAATATAGACTACTATGAAACAATAAGTATTTTTGTTTCAAAAATAAACCTTGAAGTTTTTTTGTTTGTTCGAGATTTTTTGTTGTTGTTGGTTTTGTTGTTCGTTTGTTTTGAGATGGAGTTTCACTCTGTCACCTGAGCTGGAGTGCAATGGCGCGATCATCTCGGCTCACTGCAACTCTCGCCTCCTGGGTTTGAGCAATTCTTCCACCTCAGCCTCCTGAGTAGCTGGGATTACAGACATACACCACCACACCCAGCTAATTTTTTTGTATTTTTAGTAGAGACGGGGTTTCACCAGGTTGCCCAGCCTGGTCTCAAACTCCTGACCTCAAGCGATCCGCCCGCCTCGGCTTCCCAAAGTGCTGGGATTACAGGTGTGAGCCGCTGAGCCCAGCTAAAAAATTAACTTTGAAGTTTTAAAATAAAACCATGCCACTATTTATCAGTGCAAAAGAGACTTTCTAAATTGATAGATTATTTCAAAGAAGAGTGATGGGAGAGGTAACTTCTTAAGCCCAGGTCCCAGATAACCACCAAGCTGTGAAAAAGAGCACTAGTCATTCTGCCCTAACACTTCTCTTGGAGCCTATGTCTTAGTTTTCTTGTCTCGCTCTAGTTAGTTCTACCCATTTCCTCTTGTTTTCTTCCCAGTCCCTCTCTCTTACTCCTTCAACTTTGTCTTCTCATTCTCATGTCTCATTTCCTTCTGTTTACTTCCTGTGCTTTTACTACTTCTGTATTTCATACTGCTTTCATAGCTCTACCCTTACCTCTTTATAATGTGGAAATTTTCTCACTTAGGTTAAAATTAAACTTTGGGCATTCCCACCTATCAAAAAAGGATCAAGAATTCTTTTAAGTTTAAAAAGGCATCAAGATATGAGACATGTAGTGAATGCACTTTATTCCGTAGGTTGTATAGGCTAGTGTTTGTCATCTTAGAATATGTGCTAAGGTTGCTAATTTCATAAAGATAGTTATCTGGTTTCATGAATTGGATAGCAGATTAAAAGCAGCAAGAGACAGGGCAGCAGGAAAAATGCTACTAGAATCAAAATGGCTAAGACATGACCACAGAATGACTGGTTATAAACATACAAAAATTAGCTATCATGTAATGTAGGCCAAGTAGCTTTGAATATCTTAGTTTTCCATCCCTAAGAGCATCGCTGTGTACCTAAACAATACTGTGGTTATTGTTTAATAAGGAAGTAAAAGTTATGATTCTATCATATCTAAAACTATTTTATTAATTTAGTTAATTTTTAACTAAATAGATATATATTATATATTTACATATATATATGTTTCATTTGGTCAGTTTTGTGGCTATCTCATTTTGAACTGAAAGTCTGGAATTTGATAGAAAAACTACAAATATTAGTAACTCACCTTTTCCTGAGGGATTTAGTTCCTACCACCACTACATATATAGCGTCAAACCAGACCACACAGATTTCATTTAGGGTAAAAGAAAGGAAGAGTTAAGGTTGCTAATTTCATAAAGATAGTTACCTGGTTTCATGAATTGGATAGCAGATTAAAAGCAACAAGAGACAGGGCAGATGTATATTATATACATCTGTATAAATATATATATATATATTTATATATATAATATATTTACAGAGTTACCTCTATATATATTATATTGGGAACATAAGTATGTATAGAATTTGTACTAATAGAGTAAAATGTTGTTAATAAATATTGAGTAAACATTTATTGAGGACCTACTGTGTGCCAGGAACTGGGACCAATATGAAAATGAATGCAAAGTGGCCTCTGACCTCAAGTGTTCTCAGTTCAGATGAAATAAATGTAAACTGTTAACACAGTGTGGTTGAGTGGAGGCAGCAGCAAATTGAGGGCTTTACCGTTGTCTCACTACTGAGGAATGAATGAGTAGCACCTCAGAGCTCAGTTATTGCCAACTTGAGTGTTGTTAAAATGAAAGTTTGCATCATTGCTGCAGCTGTTTTATACTCCTATAGTTTGTGATTCTGTAATCACATGATCTCCTTTAAAAATCTTACCATATAGCCGGGTGTGGTGGTGCACACCTGTAGTCCCAGCTACTCAGAGACTGAGGTGGGAGGATCACTTGAGTCCAGGAGTTTAAGGCTGTATTGAACCATGATCATGGCACTGTACTCCAGCCTGGGTGATAGAGCAAGACACTGTCTGAAAACAAACAAAAAACCTTACCATACACATCAAGTAAAACCATTTCATTATACCTTAAAAGGAAGAAGTTCATTAAGTCACTTAGCAGACTACAAATTTAGTGCAGACATGGATATAGATGAGGAATACCAGCTTGTTTTGTTGGTGGGAGGGGGAAGGTGTTTTATTTTTAATAATTATGTACTAACTGGTATTGTCCTCTCCCTTGGCTGTCCCTGCCACAGTTCCAGAGTTATCAGTAGGCTAGATAGAAGGTGACCTCTCCTCATAAGGACTTGGACAACTCAGATTATCTGAAGACACAGACCTGACAGGAGGGAGAAGAAAAAACAAAACACTTGAAGCAAGAAACTCAAATGTAATCCTACGATCAAAGCAACTGGTCAACACTTCCATCAGAAGTGAAGATAGGAAGCTCATCAGATAGAACATCAGCCCATGAGATGTTTGCAACAAATCATTTTGTTGCAAGCAGTGTGTCGCTTCTGCACAATCAGAGACTGTCTCGATCTCTCCACTCACCGTGGAAGTTGCCTTGTGCCTAAACTGAATTGACAAATGCATTGTAACTACAAATTTTATTTATTGTTATGAAACTGTAAGGTCTACATATAAAGGGAAAAAGTTAATGTGGAAAGCTGATCTACACTCAGCTGATGCCAGCATACATTAAAGCGGTTCACGTGCAGAGAACAAAGCAGTGACAACCATTGGCCCTTAGCATTCCCGGCATACCTATTAGTGTCTTAAAAAGGAAGGGAAAAGTCTTTTGTTGCCCTCTCCTATCCTTTTGCCATATGAATAGTGTTTTCCATGAAATAGGAAAATATCACTTGGAATAGCATTTCTCTTGCTCTCATTTTTTGATTTATTTTTATTTTCTCTTTGTGGGTGTTATATTTGATTTGTAAATCTGAATAGTTTATGGTCACAGTCCAGCCTCCTCCATGCAGCCCTGTGTGCTTTGCACATTTACCTTACAATGGTAAGCAGAGACCATCTGTGACCATAGCCTAGCTAGGATTTTAAAAGGGGAAATTTTGTTCTCTAGGTTTTCCCCCAAATAAACATTGTTTTATTTCTAATAATAACCAAGACTTTTCAAGCTTCTAGATCTCATAGGAAAGCTTGTAACAGCAAAATTGTAAATTACAAGGGAAGAATCTACTTTTTAGAAATTGCTTTGTTTTCCAAGCAGTAAGTACTACATACAGTACTTGTAAAGTGTTAGCTGTAAGTAAGCACAAAATACATTTAAAATACAAAGACGATTTTTTCAGGCTGTGATTATGGTGAACATAACAAAACCCAGTAGTCACCAAGGCAGGTAGTGTGATAAATGAACACACCACTCTGAGGCTAATTACCTAATGGAATACAAGAGCAATGGTCACCCGTGTTTCCTTATCCTAGCCTTTATTTCTCTGTCATTTGGATGGCTGGTCAATGGGGAAGAATTCAGTGGGTGATTTAATCAACTGCAAACCATCTGCCCCTGTCCCAAAATGATGAGCCAGATTAGCATTAAACCAGTATTTGTCAGTCCATCTTAATACTGTTCATTAAGGCACTCTCTGTCTCTAATCCTTAGGAGTTGTTTTCAAAGACATAATCACTTTGAACTTCCATGAAACCTGTCTTCCACCACAACAACCCTGGGAGAGAAAAACATGCTAAACGAGGTATCTTGGCTTAGTAATTCCTTATAGCCAACATCAACAGTGGCAATCAGCACACAGAGGAAAGGACCCAAATCACTATGTAGCTTAAAGATTTCTGTTAATTTGAAAGAACAAAAACAGGACAGAACTTCTGGTACTCTAATCAGGATGATTCCTAACAAGTCAGTCATTTGTGAACTTAGTGGACTTTTTGGTTACTTTAATTTGCATATATTCTCCAGTTACATCAGACTCTATCTGTGGCCTTGTTCTTCATTTCAGTGTTAATCAGCTAAACAGAAGTTGTTGCTTATGATGTGTGAGTGAACATATGCCACTGCCTGGCCTTTTTTTCTTCAGAGCTTGTTGTCTTTTTCGCTATATTAGACTTTGCAGTATGCCCAGAAGCTTTCCTTCATAAAATAGAAAGAAAAAACATTTGGCTTATTTTTCACTGTAGCTAGTCTTTTATACAATAATCTTGTAAGAAAATTTCTTGAATTCTAAATATTACTCTTTCTAGATTTTTGAAATCAAAAAGTTTTCAGTAAAAAGTTTCTTACTTTATTTTATTATATTAGGTAGTAAAAATGTAGGGTTATTTACCATAACCTGTTCATTAATATCAGAAATTTACAATAGCATTTTAAGACCATAGTAGGATTCTAGCATACCGTGTAGTACCTATGGAGTATTGTAAGAGCTAATTGTTGGAGATGAATTGCTTCTCATCTTGTTCTCCAGTTTCCATTGTTGGTTTATTGCAGATTTGTATCCTGTGTCAAATTCAAGGTATTATTGATAAACCTTTTCAACCAGCAGCAAGAAGTTCAAATTTTTTTCTGTCACTGTAACAGAAAACACAATATGTATATAACATTTATGTAGCAATAAATGTGCCATCTTTTTTTTAACACAGTAAACTAGTGAGTTTTTTACATTACTCTTTCTCAAATAATAATGTATTTTGTTTTCTTTTCTCCATCTCATTCATCCCAGAAACACTCACACTGCTTTTCCTAACTGCATTATCTGCATTATCTGGGAAACCCTTCAGGACAGAATCAGGGTTGTGGAGCTAAGTTGGCAATCTGGTCTAGAGCTTCTCCAGCTTGTGCTTTTCTCCTCTTGCCCTCACTACTGATAGTGGCCTTTTACCCTTTTCCTCAAGATTGACCAAACAGCAATTACTAGTTATAGAAAATCTACTCATTTGTAGATCTAGAGAAAAATGAAGAAGATGGAAAAAGACTCAAATGAGGCTTTTTAAGTTATTCTTCAAAGCACTTTTCACATTTCCCATACCCTTTCTCACAAAAAAAGTGTGTCATAATTAGGTAATGGTATTGTTTATTGTTTAAAAGTTAAAAGGTAAAAGTTTGCTTTTATCCCAGTTTTTAACCACAAAAAAAGCATAGTGATTATCCATGAGGACTTCATGCCAAGCAAGAACCTCAAACAAACTGGACAAACTTTTTTTGACAGTGAATGACTTTTTGTAGGACCTGTGCATGCAAAACCCATGGTGATTGTCACATCCTCTTTGTATGCTGGCAGATTGCTTCTCTTGGTGAATTATGAAATCCACTGTTCACATTGGGTGCCTAACAGAACATTTTGTTTCTTGTGGGATTTAGTGAAAACTGTTAAAGTTGTTAAGTTGATTTTATACAAAATGATAAAGATCTCTAAGAAGAAAACGTATAATCTTAAGAGCTGAAATGAAATATAGAGACCATCTAGTAAACGACCTCGTTAATAGATCTGTGAAAACTGAGACTCAGATTGTATGTCTCTAAGAACACATAATTAGTAACAGATCAAGACACTTACAACTTTCCCTACAAAACCTCCCTGCCTTTACTTTCTCTTTCTAGATTTCTAGGCCAATTCTACTCAGTGTCTTCATTTTCTTCCATATTTGTTTTATTTCATGTTTCTCTCCTACAGTTCATGTTTTCTTTCTTCTTGGAAACTCAAAATTTAAACGTGTGTGTGTGTGTGTGTGTGTGTGTGTGTGTGTGTGTGACTTTAAAGAATTTGGCATTAAATAGTCCTCGATTCAGATCTAAGCTCAACATCTGATTAACTTCATTTTCTTATCTGAAAAATGGAGATAACATTAGAATTGTGTAAGGATTGAATGAAACAATGTATGGAAAGCTCTTATGGTTCTTGTCACATAATAAGTACTTAATAAATGATAAATATTTTTAAATAAATAATATTATAACCAACTCCCAGGATGATTCCTCTTCAGCCATCCTGTCAGAGGTAAATGGTAAAATAAACCCCCAGAAGATGTCAACCCATCTTTGTAGGAGTCTACATTCTTTTGCAGCCATCCAATGAAATAATTGCATTTCTTTTCAGTGCCCTCCCGTGGCTACATTTTAAGAGGTTTTTTTTTTTTTCAGACCTTCACATTTCAAGAGTGAGTCTGGCGGGCATGGTGGCTCACGCCTGTAATCCCAACAATTTGGGAGGCCAAGGCAGGCCAATCACTTGAGGTCAGGAGTTCATGACCAGCCTGGCCAACATGGTAAAACCACGTCTCTACTAAAAGAACAAAACTTAGCCAGCCGTGGTGGCAGGTGCCTGTAATGCAAGCTTCTCGGGAGGCTGGGGCAGGAGAATCACTTGAACCCAGGAGGTGGAGGTTTCAGTGAGCTGAGGTCACGCCATTGCACGACAGCCAGGAGAACAAGAGCAAAACTCTGTCTCAGAAAAAAAAAGAGTAAGCCAGTAGGCTTTACCCAGTCACACTGTGTGGGTGGACAGCTGTATCAGTTTGGGTTCTTAAGAAGCAGATGCCAAGAGCAAGTAGAAGGGCAAAGGATTTATTAGGAGATGTACCTGTGAAAAACAAAGGGGTAAGGAATCAAAAGTAGACAGGGATGACCTTCAGACCATGCTGCAGATTTGACATTAAAAGAAGGGCGTGTAAGGAAGGAGGATTAGGCAGGGAGAGCCTCAGGCTGCCTGCAGTTCTGAAGAAGGCCTGAGCAGCCCAGTGGGGGTGTTCTGGCACAAAGATTGCCGACGAAGGAGGCTTGTGTTGGGCAGGAATGGCAGAGTAGTATCAGTGTCCCTGTTTTGGTCGGTCATTGACTGAGATTTACCTGAGGAGACTGAGGCCTCAGTTTGAACAGCCAGAAGCTGACAGCTAACCACTCTTTCCCGACAGGTTATCTTTGAAAGGAGACCTCAGGTGCACCTCATGGCTTCCACAGCACTTCATCATCTTCCTACAAAAGAGCAAAATAAAACCAAAGGGTCTTCTGAAGTCACTGAGACAATAGCTGATCTCATTGGGCCAATGAGTCTTCTAAAAATTGCAGTTCCTTCTCCTTTGGCATTTCACAGTCAAGTAAACCTAGGCGTATTATCCGGAAGAATGAATCCCATTCCTCCTCCATCTTCTTTGGCTCTGGTGTGTAATCTGGATACTAGCCCCTAAAGTTGCTGTGTTTAGCAACTTCATTTCTCCATGTCTGTTGGGGGCTGGTTTCACAATCCCCTAAGGATAACAAAATCTCTGGATGCTCATGGCCTTTATATAAAAGGGCACGATATTTGCATACAATCTACACACATCCCCCCACATACTTTAAATCATCTCTGGATTACTCATAGTACCTAATGCAATGTAAATCCTATGTAAATCATTATTATGCTGCATGGGTTTTTCGTCTGCATTATTTTCAGTATTGCACTGTTTTGTTCTGAAAACAGGGTCTTGCTCTGTCACCCAGGCTGAAGTGCAGTGGTATGATCCTAGCTCAATGTAACCTCAAACTCCTGGGCTCAAGTGATCCTCCTGCCTTGGCCTCCCAGAGTTCTGGGATTACAGGCGTGAGCCACCATGCCCAGCCTGTAATGGTGGTGGTGGTGGTGGTGGTGGTGGTGGTGTTTGAGACAGGGTCGTACATTATTGCCAAAGCTGGAGTACAGTGGCACATACATGGCTCAACCTCCTTGGCTCAAACAATCCTCCTGCCTCAGCCTCTAGAGTAGCTGGGACCGTAAGAGTGCACCCCCGTGCCTAGATAATTTTTTTATTTTTTGTAGAGATGGAATCTCCCCATGTTGACCAGGCTGAGCTTAAAATTATGGACTCAACCTATCCTCCCGCCTTGGCCTCCTAAAGTGCTGGGATTATAGATGGCTGTGCGTGGCCCCTTGTTAATTTATAATTAGTTTTTTCCCCCCAATATTTTTGATCTATGGTTTCTTGAATCTGGATATGGGACCTGCATGCAGATAAGAAAGGCCAGCTGTATTCTGGTGTTCTTCACAGGACAAGTGACAGTCCCTGCTTGCTGGGTCAGTGGATTGTCCACGCGTCTTTGTGGCCACCTGGCTTAGGAAGCTCACAATTCCCTGTGAGTGCCCTCAGCCCTAGGCTTTCTTACGTGTGCCTGTGCTGGAGCATGTATATAGGAGTAGAAATAGCTTTCCTATGTTTGTTATCTTTCTTTAGTTACTGCCAGAAGACAGCCTGGAGGGGCTTTCTGTTCTCTTTGACATAGACCTTCAATCCCCTCCCCAAACTGTCAGGTGGTGCCACTGCTGCCTTCTGCCAGGGTCTGCTTTCTCTCTCTTGAGGGTCAGTGTTCCACTACGCTGGGTCCCCAGGGTCTCTGAGCCATTTTGTCTTTGGGCTTGGTGAGCACCATATGCAAGATTTCCAAGTCTTTCAAAGCTTGTGAAAATGTTTGCAATCTGAAAAAATATTACAGTGCCAAAAAAAAAATGCAAAATGAAATTAATTTCAAAAACAATTACAAAAGTCATACAAAACTGTTATAGCAAAACTAAACTGCTATTTAATGTGGAACTTGAGCTCATTTTAATGTATTTGATCTTATTAAATTTGGTATAGAAGGAATGTACCTTAACACAATAAAGAAGCATCTATGATAAACCCATAGCTAACATCCTAACTCACTGGTGAAAAGTTAGAAGCTTTTCCTCTAAGATCAGGAACAAGACAAGGATGCCCACTCTAGCCACTTCTATTCAACATAGTAATCCTAGCTGGAGCAATTATGCAAAAGAAAGAAAAGACAGCCAAACTGGAAGAAGTTTAACTGTCCCTATTTGCAGACAACATAAATCTTGTAATACAGAAAACCTTAATGATTCTACCAAAAAACTTAGAACTAACAAATGAATTCAGTAAAGTTGCAGAATACAAAAGTCAACATACAAAAATTAGTAGCATTTCTATACACTAACAGTGAACTACCTGAAAAAAAAATCAAGAAAACAATCCCATTCAGAAAAGCTTAAAAAAATTAAATACTTAGGAATAAATTAAACCAAAGAGGTGAAAAACTGATACACTAAAAACTATAAAACATAAATTGAAGAAGATGCCAATAAATGGAAAGATACACCACGTTCATGAATTGGAAGAGTTAATGTTGTTCAAATGTCCATACTACCCAACGTGATCTACAAACTTAATGCAACCCGTATCAAAATTTCAATGACTTTTTTTCACAGAAATAGAAAAAGCCTGAAATTTGAATAGAACCACAAAAGACCCCAAATAGCCAAAGCAACCTTGAGCAAAAAGAACAAAACTGGAGGCATCACACTACCTGACTTCAAAATATACTAAGAAGTTACAGTAATCAAAACAGTACAGTACTGACAACGAAGAAGACACATAGACCAATGGAACAGAATAAAACACAGAAGTCAGTCTGTGTATTTACAGAAAATTGATTTTTGACAATGATATCAAGAACACACATGAGGAAAGGACAGTCTCTTCAATAAATAGTGTTGGGAAAATCGTCTGTCTACATGCAAAAGAATGAAATTAGACCTTTATCTCATACCATACACAAAAATAAATTCACAGTGGATTAAAGACTTAGACGTAAGACCTGAAACTATAAAATTGCTAGAA